TATTAGCATACAATATCGGTCCAACCGCTTGCATTATTCAAAGCACTTCAACCGCCATATCGGGTAATCTAGTTAATGTTTCACCAAATGCATTTTTAGTAGGTACCCTGGCGATCACTTCAACTAGAAAGTTAAACCATGCTTCATCAAATACACATGTGACAAACACATTGAATGTTGCTGCGCCAACTAATCTTTATCACATTTCTTCAAACAGTTAATTACTACAAAAGGTCAACGATATTTTCATCAAATATCCAGTTGAAAATGAGTTAGGTTCTACAACATCAACAAACCTTAACAATACTAGTTCTGGTTCTAATCCTATAACAGGACTAAATAGCACCGTACATTCACATAGTGGGGCAGATTATTACAAAAAAACCCATGATCAGATAAGTTAGATACATCAAGATTAAATAACACATTAATACACAGTATAACAGCCATAGCGACTCTTTTCATAGCAGAACTTGGAAATGATAATCATTGCAATGAAATTTACAACAATTAAACTGGCACTTCAGCTTATGGAAGTTTAACAGGTTCAACGCTGTTGTCAAATCAACGAGGTCCTGGAGATGTAGAAAATAGCAATAGTGCTAATTTTCCAATTGACAAAGTCTTGTTAAACCATGATACAACGATTTGTCTAATTTACAGATAAGCGGTTTATGTTTGTGGTCTCCCAGTTTAGATTTTGCAGGTTCTGACGCTCGTTATGTTTTACAACCAGATAAGTAAGCAGGGTGAGTGACAGGAATACAAATACAACTAACTCAGTTTTTACTGTCAATAGTTCACAGGTACATCATTAGGTCAAAAGTTTGACACAATAGGTACTAAGGCTCAACCAGTAGCAGGTGCTGTTAATTTTGACGAGTACACAACCTGGCATTATTTAACTATGTTTACTACTGGAAGTGTAATATGTCACAAACTTAGCACTACACCAACGCCGAATCTAGGAGTACAATGACATTTCTGCTGCTTTGTCGTGAGTTCAATCATCATAGAGATGGTAGAATGTGGGTGAGTAGCGCGCGAGGTCAGTGGGAACTCAAATTGGAGATGCTAATGTTGGTCGTGTGTGGGTTCAGGATGGGTTTGGGTTAGGTATTGTTGGTGTTACTGGCTATGTCTTATATTGTGCGGACAAGCAAGATGAACTGACGCTGTCCAGTAAGTGGTTCATATTCTTTTAATACGGGCTCATATTCTTTTCATGGTAGTGGTTCAACACAAGGATACACACCCGATGCGATACAATGTTTGTATGTGGCACATTTTTTGGCTGCGGGTGTTGGTGATGTTAGCCATGCTAGCAACCAGCATATGATGTGTGATGGGTTGGTAAAAAAGGCGACTTTCAATAAACCTGCTGATGTGCTAGGCAATGTTACACGAACGCCGGTGTAAACTGTGGTAACATTGGTATTGCTACTGATGGTAAGTTAACATTTGGCACAAACTGTGAAGTATACAGATATGTTAGTGTGTTTTCATCTTTTGACGTGTGAAATTCTTCACTAGGTTCATTTGTGGAGGCCCTGCCGTTCAGTCTAACATCGCCGGAGCCGTTTGTATATCTATTGGATGCACCTTGAATGCAAACACTGCCGATGCAATGAGAAGTTTATTTGCTGACGGTGTTTCTGCTAAAGCTGGTGGAGCATCAAGAAGTAATCATAAAGCACCTAATGGTGTTCTCGTAACGGCTGGTACTAATTTAGCGGTTGAAACTGCTTATTTAGCAACTGAATGCCATTCAATCATCTGAGCAACAACGGTTTGAGTTTAGACAATATTTCAATGGCAACTGGAACAGGTATATAAATGGGAACAAGTGAAATATCAACTCGTTGTGAAGGAACTAACTTGTCCACGGCTGATGTAATATTCAGAACACCAAACACAGTGTGTTTAGAGTTTCGGATAGTTCAACTACACCTTCGGTTTTATTATCTATTGATAATCCTTCTCAATATGTCTTCTTTCCTTCTAAAATAGTATTTATTGCTTGGCGAATTCTGACACTCCAGGTTTATGCGTGCGCTGTGGGACGCGAAAAGAAGCGGCGCTCCGGCCGAAAACTCCGCAGTTGCAACACAGCCACTGGTATAAGGGACCCCTCTTTTGCGGTGCAACCATTACTGCGGATGGTTTTGAGGAAAAATCGCAGTCGCGCGCAGGCGGCCTCTTTTCGCGGCCGGGGCAAGCCTGTGCATTGAGAATGGCCAAAGAAGTGCCAAAATCAGCTCCCCAAAAGGCTCCCTACACAAAACGTTGCTTTCTCTATTTCCAGCCAACGGTCAGAAGGCAAACCCTGGCCCTTCTGACCATGTCAACTTGCTCCCGTCGTGACCTTACGGGGCCAGCAAGCGCCTGCCTGGCGCAATAGCTTTGCTAAAGCAAAGGTGTCACTGCGTCAGTTCAGCCGTGGGAAGATTGTCAAAGCGACGTGCTCCAAATTGGCACGTTCTTTGTCTTTGCTCGCAAATCTGCCACTAATCCTCTTTTTGGCAAAGGGAACCTCTCAATGGCCGGCAGGCCCCGAAAAACAACACACGTGGGCTTTGGAGGGAAACCCACCCCAAAGAAATGGAAACCAATCCAAGAGCTTGGGTTACTTGATTTTACTGGAAACTTAGCTCGGCAGTTGCGGCCTTTGCTAGCCAATTTCGCCGCGCTCGCCCGCCCGTGAGTGGCCATGACAAAGCCAATGCGTTGCAACTGCCTGGCCACTTCAAAAAATATCAAAGAAAGGAACCGAGGTTCTCTTACCCAAACCAACCAAAAAGACATCCCAATTTCTGTTCCCAAAAAAAGTGGCCAACAGGAAGCAATAGTTATTTGCTAATCAAGCGCAGTGAGCGAAACATGGTTTCCCAAAAAGCAAGAGGCAGCAACCACATGTGTTTATTGTCCCGCGCAAGGGGTCGGGCAACGGAAATTAAACTTAAACGTGTTTAGCGTTACCAAACCAATAGGCCAGAAGGACAACCTGGTTTGCTTCCCGAAAAGGATGCAACAAGTAAGGTGCCACCAGGACGGAAATAAAGATATGGTTTGCGTCAGAAAGAAAACAAGGGCGAACATTCCGCCGAGCAACACGAGAAACAACATCCTGGCACCTCACTGGCTCCCTCTGCCTCTCCCTGGCTCCGACTACTTGTGAAGACAAACCTGCTTTACTCTATCTAGCCTTGGCGACTCAAGCTAGGGGCTGCTTTGGACGCCCCACCTGCGGACTCCCTTCAAGACGAGTGTCGCAATTGAAAGACCTTCAGAGAGATAGTGCACAGCAGGGCAGATAGCGCAGCAAGAGGATAGCTCATGCAGATAGCTTCCAGAAGGTCCAGCGGCCTATGCGAACCTCCCAAGTGAAGGTTAACTGTCGCGCAGAAGCATAAAGGAGTGTTCACATTGTGTGACAGGCGCAGCAGATTGGGGTAGAAAGTGCCCAAAGCGAGCGCTCTGTCCGTATTTCGCGTGCTCTGCGAAAGCGCAAACCACCTCTGGCGACGCTTGTTTTTCACGGGCTCGGGAAGGGGCTCGGAACGGATGTGGAACAGGTTTGGCGCCGGGCCCTTGTCACGGCCAGGGCAGGCGCAGCGCTTTTCAGATGATAGATCGACAAACAGACAGTTAAATCGCAGGATGGATATCAACTCGTCTAGCTAGCTGGAAACTGAGATTAGGTAGACAGCAGAACAGATGGAAGTTGACCAAGACAGATGACATTATACTGATTCGTTCCGGTTGATAGTTCGTAGATAGGCGGTAGACCACCTGCGGCGCATACATTGCTGACATCTTTGAGGATTAATAGTGTGATACGACCGAAAACTTGGCCAAGATCCGGCGATTCCAAAACCAGCCATCGCGGCATTGCAGAAAGCTACGTTTGGAGCGGCGTGAAATGGCCGTACAATCCTGAAGCAGAATATGGCCGGAAATGGCTGCCTAATAGCTAGCTATTTGTACGCCAGAAGCCATTCGCAGCTATTGGTAGGCTACTACCAGCTCTTGGCAACCTAGCAGAGCTCAGCCCTGCAAAGACGCCTTAGATGAAAGCACGGGCGTTAAAGGGGGGGGGGGGTTGGGCAATCTATGGTACAGACGCTGCAAGATCTGCCGATTGATTTGGTTGCTCGATCTTGGGGCAGCCTCAGTAAGGCGCTTGTCAACGGTTGCAACGGTCCCGAGCGCGGTGCTGAACCGTGCCCCTAGCACGTGCCCGCAACCCAGCCTCATCGGGCTCAGGCAGAAGACCAACGACTGCACTTTGTTGCAGCAACACAGTTTGGGCGCGGCGGGTCCCAACTCCACCACCGTGGTGGGACTTGTCCTTGCAAGTTCATGGATACTGCGCAATAGCCAGACGGACAAGTAGCTGGGCAAATCTTGGCTGCCAAAATACAAAGCCTAAAAAACAGACAGCGCGACAGCTAGCAGCTTGACAAGAAGATAGCTTGCCAGACAAACAGCCCGACAGATAGATAGCTTGGCAGATGGCGAGCTTAACAGCAAGAAAGCAACAGATAGCCCAACAAACAAACTGCTGGACAGAAAGATTTATGGCTTGACAAGGGTAGCCTGACAGATAGATAGCTGGACAAGCAGCTGGCTTATTAGCATGAAAGCTTCGGATAGAAAGCTTGGGTGGCCCGACAGATGGCTAGCCTGACAAACAAACAGCTTAAAAGGCAGACAGCTTGACAGATCGACAGTCCAACAGACGGACAGTCCAACAAGAGCAGATAGCTGGACAGACATGCTCGACAGGCAGCTAGCTTGACAGACCTTGACAGCGGCCTGACAAACAGACTTTTCGCCAAGCAACAGAAAGCACGACACAGATGCACAAGCGCAACTGAGACAAACAAGCAGCAGGTTTCGAAGACAGTTTTAAGAAGGGCGGGCGCCAAAGCAAAAGCAAGCGCCCCTATATTTAGCGCATTCTTTTTTGGAACTTCTGACCACTGGCTCTGCTGGCTTTGCTGGTAGGTGGGGGCGTGTAAGTTTGCGGCTCATTCTCTCGCTGGGAGGATGCGCTTGAGCTTGCAGTTCTCATCTCAAAAGAACCTCCTTCAAGGTTGGACCCCGATGTTGAGGCCTGAAAAGTTGCAGAGTTCACAGCGCTTAGCCTAACAGCTACTGAACACTGCAGCACTCGGTCTCTGCATTCGGAAGCGGGTGCGCCATCACAACCTTGTCTCGCGCTGCACCTCGCGCGAAGCAATCGCCCGTGTTGCCACCGATGGCCAACCCTATTTGAGTGGGCAAAACCTTTAAGACTCACGGTGTCTACCCAAAAGCGTATGAAGAACCAAAATGGGAAGGCAAGGGGCCCTTGCTTCCTGGACCAAGCACACGAAGGAAGACAAACCATCACCAGCGATTTCCTCCCGAACACACACTTTGGAAGATTGAGGTTTAGTGCACTACCACAAGGTGAAAACGTGGCGGGGGCTATTTTGCCATTTTTGTTCGTCAATCGTGCGCATACCGCCATCCTTGTGCGCCTCGGCTGGCAGGGGCTTCGCGTAAGTCTTGTTTTCTCTAACCCTCAAATCTTCAGTGAATCGGGGCAAAGCTTTTCTATTGCCGAAATAAGTGACTCAAAAAACCAAGCCGATAGGTGGTGCCAACACAGCTGGAAACCGTAGGGGGTCAGATTCAAACACGTGAGACAACACTTAGACAAAGCCATCGCTCACAGTCGTTACATTTCATACAAAGCCTACAAAAGTTACACAAGGGCAAAGTCGTCTGACTCCAAAGGAGGAACCAACTCTTGGTGTCGAAGCCAGTCGACTGCTGACTCAAAACCCAACATCCTTTTCAGAAAATGTGGCGTCCAACTTCGCCCGTCTGAAGCCCGCTTGTGGCCTTGGAAAGCACCGAGGTCTGCATATCCACCCATCTCCTCGCACCGGAGAAGCCGGACATGCCCGTGGACCGCCGTGAAAGATGCCATGTTCGACTGGGAATCAACAGTTCAAATCAGAACAGGCCAAAGGTGGACAAACTCAAGCGGTGTTGAGACCTACAGAAAGTAGGAAACAACCCTGCCAGGTTGTCGGCTTCACGTGCTGTTCCACTTGCGAATGAGTGTCTAACAGAAATCAACACGTCCCACAAAACACAGCATTAGCCGAAATGGAGGTAGCGCAAAACAAGGGCGCATGCTTTATCTCCCACATCACGCGCAGATTTAGCACTGTCCCTTATCCCTCGTAAGTGAATGTTCTTGTGGGCCAAGAAGTCCGCAAAATGCCTTGCCTCCATCGCGCCGCCCTGCAACATCAAGGCACGAGTTTTGACCTGAGCCCAGGGTCGTTGGGTTGCCACTATGTTTCGACGTTGCTAAGCAAATGCTGGCACCCAAGGAAGGGGCCCGTCTCGCCCCGTCCAAAGCCATCCTGGGCTTCCTGCCACGCGAGAATCCTTGGGTGGTTTCACGGGAAAATATTGAAGCGCGTTTTCAGGGTCCCTAAAATTGAACACTACACACATGGACCAACACTAGGAAACAGAAGGCCCGGGCCCCGCCACATTCCCGTTTTTTCTTGGAAGAGAAGCCATCGTCCGCTGAAGCATCATCAGCACTTTTTCCATAACAGTTGCGGGTTCTTACTTTGCTTCAAAAGAGGGCGCTTGTCTCCCAGCCCGGTGGCCTAGGGTCGTGTCCTCCGGGCCGGCCTTGCTGAAGCGAGTTCAACTGCCTGCCGCAAAACTTCATTTGTCTCCCAACCCGGCGGCCGGGGCAAACGAACTCATTTGTCTCCCGGCTTGCCTTGCTGAAGCAAATCCTTTCTCACGGTTGCCCCTTCGCGCCGACCTAGGCGCAAAAACAGACCAAACTTGCCACCGCTCTGCCTGTATCCAGGGCTCACGCGGAATAATTCTGCTAGCAGTCTCCCACTCTTGCAAGCAGGCAGGAATCCATTTCGTTGCTGATTTGCCCTTCCCGTAAGCTGACTGTCAAAAGTTGGGAAGTCAGCCGGCTTGCTTGAAACAAGGGCATCCGCTATTGGGCCGAATGGTGGGCGTAAAGGTCACAACCCTTCGTTCGTGCCCGAACCAAAAGGTGGCGCTTGAGACCGCTGGCGCTTGCGAGGCTCGAACAAGGCCTTGGTTTCGATACTGTCTAGTACGCTCTGCGCCTCAGTGGCCCACCCAACCACGTCAAGCAAGTCAAGCTCCCACACTCCCGATCGCATCCCAAAAATGGATGAGACCAAATCGCATCCAAAAAATGGAACTTGGCGCTGCCTCAGCGGGCGTGTGCTCACTGGATTGTCTGCAGTAGCATGGCTATAGCTGCCTCAGCGTTCTGCTAGCAGTCTGCTTGCAGCCGCCCGGAAAATGCGCACACCCAGCCACAGCTCGCGTGCAAGTGCAGTGGCTTTGACTTTTCTCAAACCCTGCAGTGGCATCGTGTTCTGTGCCTCTCCTCACAGAAAAAGGTCTAGCGCTGGGGGGTCTCGAGGGTCAGGGTGGCCCAGTTTTGGGATTGGTTGGTTGACTGGGGTAAGGGGTGGTTGAGAATTGGTTTGCAACCAAACCAACCATAAAAGGCTAAGCGCTAGAGGAGCACTAGAGCCCCAATCCAAAGCCTAAACAACCCTAAAAATTCCAGTCGCTCCCCCAGCACTCTTTAAGCGCGGCTGGCCACAGCCTTTAAGAAAGCTCAGAAAATTCTTGCGGCACCCCGAATAACATCCCGAAACCAGCCCGGAAGAAAAGCAAGCTGCTTGAAGTTTGTGTAAATCATTTTGTTGCGTGCGTGAAGTAGCGCTGCAGTACGCGCAGCACTCAGTCTTGGAAAAAACTGTTCAAGCGTAAGCAGTAGCCTGACATAGTCCTGGTCAGCACAAACTTGTACTTGCCAGCGAGGGCCAACCCTGCAAGCTTGTAGCGCCATGCCACGTAAGGCTCAGAGAACTCCCCGCCATATGGGTCGCAGCTTGGGTAGACGCCTTTGCCTCGGGTGCGCAGCAGGGTAGAGAATTAATCGGAACGTTAAAGACACAGCCCCCGAGCGCGCAACAATTGCCAGCGCGCAATGACTAGCAGTCACACACACATGCGCGCCTGCAGGTGAGGGTGAGAACCGGGGCGCAGGCAAACAAAATATGCCGCTGTACACACACGCTTGGGCACGAAAATTAATATTGCCACCACTGAATTTAGCATTGATAGAACTAAAACGAGTATTGCAACTACTTCATTTTGTATTCGTGCGAGAGCGGAAGCAACCCTCTGCAGGTGTTGGCGGCCCCGCGCAACGATAGAAACCCTCTGGTTGCGGAAGGTCTGGAAAATTTTGGGCCCGTAAGTCACGATTTGCTTTTCGGAGGCGAAACATTTTCCAGACCTTCCGCGGCAGGAGAGTTTGTATCTTTGCGCGGGACAAGACATTTCGGCAGAGGGTTGATTCTGGGTTCGCTCTGCGCAAAGTTAAGACTTTTTTGGCATCCCAAGGGATCAATTTTTTCGCTGGGAAACTCGTAATACTAAAGTAGTTAATGAGGGATCATTTCCACAAACTTTTCTACCTTTGCGCACGAGCACCTTTCCGCATTCTTTTTCCAGACATTTGAGCTCTTCTATCTTTCCGAGGACGGTTACAAATCCATGTAGTACATCCAAGGGACTACGGTGTACCGATTTCTGTCTAGGGGCCCGCCCCGGCATCAGTCCACACCTGCAAGAAAAACCGCAAGTTCACGCGCAGCAGTGCGCTGCCCCATGTCAGCCTGTGACTCAAGCAGTAGTGAGCCCAAGAAAGTGCGCCAAGCTGCTCTGCCCCAGCCTTGTTCAAAATGACGCAGCTATGAGCAAAATCACGCTGGAACATGCTCGGATTGCAGAACTCTGCCGGATGACCCCCCCTGGTTGCCAGGCTTGGCGACTCATTGGTCTTGCTCGTGGGCTTCGGCTTTGCTTTTGCTGCCGGCTCCTGTCGCCTTTGGCTTGCTGCCGCGCCCTGGCTACTGTTTAACGGGTTTCGAAGGTGCGGTGAATGGCATTTCCCGTCCCGCCGCGCCACTGCCCTTGGGTTCAGGACACACCGAGAAGCACCACGAACTTGTCGCCATGCCTTCCACCCGATGTTCTTGCTTGTGTCTGGCGCTGGATATAATCCAAAAATCACCATGCTCAGAAACACGTCTCAGAAATCATCTGGCAGTTGCTTATTTTAGAGCAAACTGGTTTTGCAGATTCAACAGTGAAAAACTAGCCCTGCTAAAGCTAAATTTTCCCATTATTGCACTCGTTGGAACGCTTGTTTTCCCCACTCCGTGTGCATCAATCGTCGCGCGCTGCTATGCTCGTGGTCATGGCTTGCCGCGATCTTCCAGGCAGCCTGAGCCCCTTCTAAAACGTTCTCCTAAACCTAAGCAAAATCATCTTCAAGAGGACATTGTACTTCAATTCACTCTGAAGCTAGAATTCTCTTAAAGCCGTTTCCTTAAAATTCTGTTTGAGCCAACTTCGAAACTTGAAGAATTCCTCCCGGGATTGGAAATCCGCTTTTAGACCTGGTTCGGCATCAGAATTCGATTTTGAAGTCTAATTTAGACCCTCTAGAATTTTGCTAGAAGTCTTGTCTTCGTTAGTTCTACCTCGAAAACAACATGGCAAAGGAAGTCCTTATTAAAGATATAGATTGCTTTAAAATGAAACCCTGCTTAAACTCCCCTGAGAACTGTTTCAACCCCAGTTGAAACTAGAATTTCTAACCAGTTCATATGGCGCGTATGTTTGGCGAGCGGGACGCTGTGGGAGCGCGCTTGCTTGTGGGTTTCAATCTTTCTCAAGCACTTTCGCATAGACTTGCACATTCAACAGAAAAGGGTGGGGCGCTGCGAGCGTGTGCTTTTCTTCATGTTCTGAGTGGACATTCCAGTTGGCCTACGTGAACAGTTCGTGTTTACATGTTAACGGATTTGTTGTAAAGAAGCTCAGTGAAAAAGAGGTCCCTGTGTAAACTTTATTTTGAAACAGAACAAAGCCGAGCTAAAAGCCGAATGTAGCAAAGAAATGTTAATTGGATTGCTTCCTTGCCAAAATTCTGTTGAAACTCGAATTGAACTGTAAAGTTCTTTTGGGAACGACACACTGTCCAAGTTCTAAATTCAAGATATAATTTCCAGGACTTCTTTACTGAGTCCCATTTACATCCTACTCAAACTCAACGAGTTTCAGAGAGCGGCCGCTGGTGGAGATGCGAGCTGACTATCAAAAGCATTGCAAAACACTGAGTTTTACGGGGTTTTATGGTTAAACACGATTTGGGAACCTGAGTTGAGTCCTACTTTACGCTTATTCTACCCTACACAAATGTCAACTGAAACTAGACAGAACTTAGTAAGGAAAGGCTCCTACACGGTTTTGTTTCAATTTACAAATGAAATAATGCTTCAAACAAGAGTTTACAAGGGGCTTCCTTTCAAATAGATCTGGCTTTGCAAAGTATTAAACATTTAAACACAACTTCAAAAAGTTTGGGACTCCTCTGAAATCTATGTAAGAAATTTAACAAGTTTTAGCTAGCTTCTGACTAAAAGGAAACAGAATTGAATGAGGGAAGGCTACAAAAAGATTTGTCTTCATTTAAACTTAAGTTGTGGGAATTTCTGATTCAAAATGCACCTTTGACACGTTTCTGACAAGTTTTCGTAAGTTGCTGTGGTGCCAACACAGCCGACCCATCCTGCAATCCCACTGTAGAATGCACTCCGCACACCTCCAAAAGGCTTTAGGAACGTGTCGTTGGCCCACCAATACGCAGCTTACTCCACATGAAAAGGTGAGAGCCTCCGCAAAAAGGAACGAACCTTCGCGCAGCAGGGTCATGGCCTCTATCTGACCGCAGCGTTTCTGAATGCGTTATTCGCAGCATTTCTGAATGCGTCATTGGGTCTTTCACCAGGCGGCGCTCCCCTTCCTGATTGTCATGCTGAAAGCGTAGCGCCGATCCTCTTGTCAACTTTGCTCCCCTTAGGGTACGACTCCTCTTCAGTAGTTTCGTGGTGGAATATCAGGGCGCACCAAAAGAGGAGAAGTAAGCGAAAAATCCAGAACTTCACGAATTAGCATGTTGCTCAGGCTGTTCCTGTACCAGGCACTGCGCATGAGCTCTTGGGATTTTCTCTTCGGAGATGGTCCAGATCAGCAGCATGCCAGTGTAGTATCAGACTGTATTAGGATGAATGTGTCCGCTGCAAACGCTACTCAGATTCAGGAAAAGGCTTTCATCGGGAGTTGCATCGACCCTCCACCCAAGGGCATTCTGCAAAATGAAAGGTGCCTATTTGTATTTCTTACTCTTGAAAACCCTGCCCAACACGAAAGAGTTAGGGCCCGGGTTCGATTGCCCCGATTATCAAAGCGAATCCTACAAAGAGCTTTGTGGTCCAGCTGAGTCGCCTATCCACATGCTCCCTATCTCTTCCATGCGAAAAATGCTCAGCGCTTTCCCGGCCAACAGTCCAAACTTGGTTCGCAGGAACCGGGATACGTAGCCTGCCAGAGGTCACTAACCATCATGCTGTGCTTTGATCGCCGCTTTGAGTTGCTCTGCGCGTTACCTGCGACAGCATGGTTTCGTCGCTTGACGCGCCTGCCAAAGTTCACGAAGCTTCTGCCGCACCCTTCGCGTAGCGGCTTTCAAACTTGCAGCCCTCCCTCCTCCAGCAATTGACAACGTTGTCCTTGGAAACCGCCTCGCGCTCGAGGTGTGAGTGGTAGCCATATTTGAAGCCGAGGCAGGGGCAGGCGCTGTACCCCGTCGCTATACCGGGTGATCTCGCTCTGCGTGCCTCCTCCAAGCAGGAAATGCGGAAACCCTCACCACCCCAGTTGCAGGCCAACAACTTTTTGATGCCTGCGGCCAAAAGCTCCTGGGAAGAAGGGAATCTGCCTTGCTTCCAAGAGTTGTCCTACGCACGACCTGTGGTTGGGGCCCGCCCAACTCAGTCTTGAAACACATCTCCTCAGGCTGCGTCGAAATGATTTGTCCTGGGTTGGACTCATTTTGCACAGTTGGCCCAAGACCGTCAAAATTGCGACCCGGTCTGCGGGACAAATTGTCAGCAACGCTGAAATATGCGTCAGCAGGACGTTCCAGCTTGAGAAGATCAGCTCCGTGTTGAAGAGCCCAAGAAAGCCGTTGCTGCGCTTGGGCAACTCCGGGTGTAAGTTTGTTTCCGCTGCCACCAAGTGCGTTCTGACCCAACTAGCAGAGTTCTTCACGCTCAACTTGTAAGCATGCCAAGGCACGCTTGCAAGAGGCGAGCCAAATGCGCATGACCTGCGTCGCCTCATAGTCTCAGAACGATTGATGTTCAACTGCGCATAAAGCCGTTGCGTAAAAGCTCCTCCAGCCGTCTCAAAACTACTGAGCTCACCTTGCCTGCGCCGGCCAGTATGCTTTTGCACCTTGCGAGCGCTGGTTTGCAGTTTTCTGTGGCGCTGCATTCTTGTGAAGATGCGTCACCTCAGGTCCATCCGACTGAGCAAGAACTGCATCCGAGACAGATCTCCACCTTCTGGCGTCTCCATGCATCAAACCAGGTTTGCTCCTCCAAAAGCAGCTACCTTGCGAATTGTGAGGAGCAAAAAACAAAATCATAAACAATTTGACCACTCCAGTACCAACCCTGACCCCTGCAGGGCCAACCACACATCTCAAACCGAAACAACTACAAACGTGCCCAAACGGCTACGAACAAACGTGGTGAGCCAAACGGCTTTTGTGGGCCACGGAAAACAATATGAGCATGGCTGCGAAACTCCGTGTCAAAAGGGCGCATGATCGTTTAATACATAGAAAAGGAACTCCACACCGCGATTCCTTGTTCGACTATAGCGGTGCGAACCAACATCTAGAAAAAATGGAAAATGTCTGGCCGCCTACTCTGTTGGCTTGACTGAGGGTCGACCGGGCCAAGTAAGGTCTTTCGTCCATGGCACGAATGAATCTGTAGCAACACATGTCCTTGACCACCAGAACGCTGACACGCCCACTGAGGAATCCACTGCCACACCTTCACATATATTTTTGAAGCTGGGAGGTTCGCTGCAATCGTGGGGGGCCGTTCGTTTGCAAGAGCATACAATAGGCAACCACCTGCGCGGCCATGTGTTTTGCAGTGTCCTGCTTTGGGTTGCCTTCGGGGGAAACTAAGAGACACATTATGTAGGAATTCCCCCATGTGGGGACAAACCCGCGTGCAGGAAAGCAGCACGGAGGGACCAAAACAAACATGTTTGGGCTGTGACATGCAGGGTTGTCAACGTCACGGTCCTTGCTAGACCCCTTTTTAACGGTGACACAAGTAGCATTAGGGTCCTGAAAGGAGCACTCTTTGTCGTTCTGTTTTTGACAACCGTTCCCCCCCCTCCCCCACGCCCAATGAAGGAGGAAGGAATCCTCAACGCCCAGCGCAAATTTCCCTCAGGCTCGCCCAATTAGTTGACTAAGATCAAAACCTATCCAAGTGATAAGTTACTTACAGGGACATGACTCATGCCCTGAGTCTTCTCGCTTCGCTCTTCCAAGCGCAACACGGAAGTACCTTGCGAAATGCCAAACTGACAGCAACAAAACATGGGCAAACTGCTACCCAGTGACTGGAAAGGTAGACCAGGGTTTGCAACCATTCCTTCCTCCTTGTCAAGCTTGGTTCATGTTGATTCCATGTGTGGGAAACGCGCCATACAGGAAAAACATTTTACGGGCGCCGCGTGCGCCAGGCCCCAGGCAGATGCGGCCTCCTGGATCTGCGGTAAGGAGTCCTATCGCTGTCTCCGCGCTACGTTCTCGAGAGAGTCTTCAAAAGAAGGGCCCGGCGCAGAAACAAAGTTATGTTCTGCAAAGGTCTGTTTTGTTTCTGAACATCTGAAACTATCCGGACGCTGCCAGACTCAGATCCAGCTAGAGACAGAACCAACACCAGGCTGGCAATCAGGTCTCTCCGTAGCCGAAAGCTGACACCAAAAAAGAACGCGTGAAAAGGAGCTTTTGAATGAGCCACACGCGGTTTGCCGAAATGCCGCCTAACCTGGGAGATACCCTTCAAAAACAACGGCGGCGGGCCTGGGGTTGACTACTCTCCAACAAATGCTGTTCGGGTGTTCAAGTGGACCTCAAATTTGGAGTTAGGTCACAGAGGGGGGCTTGTCAACACGAAACTGAGTCTTGTTTTGCTGCTTGTAAAACCCCATGCCCAGCAAACACGACACTACTTCCGTTTGCATTGCCCCATTCATAATCTACAGGGTACTTCCGTAGGGCTTCAAGCACCTGCCAATTTTGCAGCACATGCGCGGCAACACTGTCTGCTCGTTACATTCTGCCCGAATCTTCGTGTCTTTCATTTCAGGAACATGGTGTCTTCATGAAGCACCGTCTTTTCCGACCCGTGGCCCACAACCGTCGAAACACACGCATCACATCTTCACCAGGTGGAAGGCTTTAGGACCCTTCACTTGTGGAACCAGCCCTGAGAAGCACATGCCCCTTGTAGTTTGCAGCGGGTTAAGGCCGGGGACCGGCTAGAAAAAGGACCTCTAGGCTCCCTTTGAAGCACCAAAAGTCCACCCATCGCTGAAATGTCATCCTTCTACGAACGATATCAGGCTTACAAATTCAACGTGATGAAGGACAAGTCTTCAGGAAAGAGATGGCTGTCAGAAACAACAAGCCGCAATGTTTAACCCGACCCGACGCTGCCACCAGCAGCGCGCAAGCGCACAATCAATTCGTTTCTGTTTCACTGGATCGCTTCCAAGTGATTGGGATTGCGCCTGCTGTCTGTGCGCTGGTGAATAGAAGTTGAACAAACCGCTTATAACCATCCTCGGAAAGATGAAAACTTTTTCCAGATTTGGCACCGGAGCCCGACAAAAAACGGCGCGAAACGGAAAGATAGAAACTCTCCCGCGGAAAGATAAAGCTCTCCCGTCGCGGAAGGTCTGGAAAATGTTGGCCCGTAAGTCAGGTTTTTGCTGTTTCGGAACCGCAACAGCGACCGGAGAGTTTCTATCTTTCCGCTGGGACGATCCCGTTTTCGCACGAATACTAAATTAAGTTGTGGCAATTCTAGATCTTGTACTGGCCGCACTGAATTTAGTACAGGCAATACCAGATTTAGCACTGGCAAAATTAAATTCAGTACTGGTAGTAGTATATTTAGTATTGGCGATGATTCAGTACTGGGACACACAAGTAAGTACTAGCAATATTCAATTTAGTACTGGCAATACTACATGTAGTACTGGCAGTTCTCAACTTATTACTGGCAAACGAACAATTTGATTTTCGGGCCATGAGCCGTAGCCAAAGCTTCTATCTTTCCGCAAGGCCTGAAAAACACAGGGCTTGCGCAAAGATAAAAACGTTTGACCGGGCAGTTTCTATCTTTCCGCGGCGCTGCTAAAACCTGCAGAGAATTTGTTTTCGCACAAATTCAACACTGGCAATACTACATTTAGTACTTGCAATCCCAAATTTTAGTACTGCAAATTGAGTACTGGTAATACTAAATTGTGTACTGACAAAACTACATTTAGTACTGGCAATGCTAGATTTAGTACTGGCACAACTACATTCAGCACTTGTAGCAAGGAATGTTAAACTATTCAATTCCTGGCCTAAAAACTAAGTACTGCAAATGCTCAATTTAGTCCTGGCAGTACTTAATTTAATACTGGCAACATTGGATTGGGCACTGCGCTACTAGACTTTCTACAGGCAAGCAGATAATATGACTTTTCCGGGCCATGAGCCGTAGCAAAAGTTTCTATCTTTCCGCAGCACAACGGTAGAAACTTTCGACCGGAGAGTTTCTATCTTTCCACGGCGCTGCCAATACCTGCAGAGGGCTGAGTTCGTTTTCGCACGAATATTAAAGTAAGTGGCGACAATACTAAATTGAGTACTGGCAATACTACATTTACTACTGGCAATACGAACTTTAGTACTGGCAACATTACATTCAGTACTGGTAAATACTAAAGTTAATACACGTAATACTGTATGTAGTACTGACAATACTAGTCTTAGGACTGGCAACACTCCACTAGTACTGGGATGCACAACTAGGCACGGGCAACAGCAAATTCGACACGCGCAGTACCAAATTTTACTTCTGGCAATCCTCAATTTAGTGGTGGCAGGCAAATGAACTGACATTTCAAGGCCATCAGCCGTTGCAAAAGTTCTATCTTTCCGCAAGGCCAGAGAAAAAGAACAGGGCTTGCGCAAAGATGGAAGCTTTTCTTGCGCGGGACCCAGACATCTGCAGAGGGGTGATTGTGGGCTCGCAGAGCTACCCGCGTCTTCTGGACGCCCAAAATCATTCTAAAATGCTTTGGAAAGAATTTAAAGAATTCAAAACCTCGCAAAAAAGTATCCCGACAAGAGACCCCAAAGTATTGGGTTTAATTTGACGACGGGTGGCCCGGAAGCATAGAAAGACGCTAAACACACTGTGACACCTCTCCCGCTGCGGGTGGCTGCAGGTGAGACACAAGCGTAAACACATCAAGGTCCCTTCGTGGCGCCGCACCTCGGAAATTTATCTTCTGTCAACTTCTCTTGCGCGCTTCGCTGTGTTTTGACGCGTTGCACACGGTCTGCAAAGCAAGTCCTCCGAAGTCTTGCCAGCTGCCGCTGCTAAATTTTGCAGCGGCGATACTAAATTTGCTATTGCTAGTACTAAGTCCAATATTGCCAAGACTAAATTTAATACTGCCAATACTTATTTAGTGCTGCCAGTATTAAATTTAGTATTGTAGGTACTGAGTTTAATATTGCCAGTACTAAATTTGGTGTTGCCACTACCTTATGTATCGTCCCTATTTAATTTAATCATGCCAGTACCAAATTTATTATCGACTAGTGCAAAATTTGTTATTGCCAGCACTAAATTCAAAATTGCAAGTACTAATTTAGTATTGCCAGTACATAACTCTATATTTGCGCTACTTAACTTAGTATTTGTGCGGAAACGGAATCAACCGTCTGCAGGTTTTGGCCCGCGGAAAGATAGAACCTCTCCGGTTGCGGAAGGCCTGGGATATGTTGGCCCCGTACGTCACGTTCTGCTTTCCGGTGGCACACACTTTTCCAGACCTTCCGCGCCCGGAGAGTTTCTATCTTTCCGCGGGACGAGACATTTCTGCAGAGGGTTGGTTCTGGATTCGCCCCGCGGAAAGATAACTTTTTTGGCATCCCAAAAGATTACTTTTTGCCGTTGGGAGTCCACAAAATGTTCTATCTTGTCACGGGACCCCCTTTCCGAAATCGTTGTCCAGACGCTCGGGCATTTCTATCTTTCCGTTCCTTGGGCGCGAAACGAGGTACGGGAAGTGGTGCGTAACACGGTGCGCAATCTGACTCTAAAACGAGTTGCCAGAAGAAGCCTTTATCGGCCTCTATTTTGGTTGCGAAAGGAGGTGCCGGAAATGGCTCGCAGTGCGGCGCGCAGCACGTGCAACGCGCCGGACAAGTTGCCGAGCGTAAAATAAACAGTTAAGAGTTCTTCAACTTGCTGGCACGGGTGTGTAAACTGTAACTAAGGCACTTGATTCACATAAGTTTGTTCGAGCTGAGTGATGAGTTCCAAGGAAGTTTCTGGGCCATTGCGCGGCATGCGCCAAGGTGTGAAAATTACACCGTTCTCCGAAAAACAGGGTACCAACAAACTGTGCAACTTTGCAACCAGATCCCTGTGTGTATAATGAGCATGCGCCTCCCGAGCCCTTTGCTGACTGGCGTCGTGCCAATCTGAGTCTCTGAAAAGTTCCCTCCATGCGTTGCGCCTGTTCCTCATAAGCGGGAACTGTAACCAGCGGCGGTCGGGAAGTGGTCAGGGCGTGGTCGCGGACTGGCTGGTCCAGGCCAAGTGGCTTGGAAACTTGTTGGCAATGGGCTTGGAGACAGCGGAGGAGCGGTTTGCAAATGGCAGCGGGTCAGTTTTTTGTGTTCTTGTTTTTGCGCCGGCCTGAAAATTGCACATAGATGCTGTTTTAGACAGTTGCTTGCCCAGCGACGCCTAAAATTCGAAAAGCATCATGGCCGGGCCCAACTTTCCGCACCACGATTTGCACCTCAAATCTTCCCCAGGACCAATTCTCCGCGCCACGATTTGCGCCAGAACACGGCCCACAAAAATAGCCCTGTGCGTTACATGGTTTGCAGCCACCGGTGGTTCGACAAGTTGCCACTGCTCACTGGTGGCAATGAAATTGTCGTGTCGGCAGAAGGGTCTGCAATGTTGGCGAGCGTTGGACGCGTTCAATGTCAAGATACGACCATAAGATAGAAAGTTGTCTACAGGAAGTTGACCACCTATCCAAATAAAAGAAAAAGACTCAGAAACCAAAAGCACAGGTAAAAACCAGTAAATCTATTAGATGTAAATGTTATAAAATAGAATGAAAAAGAGAGACTTCTCATAAAGTAAAATAAGATGAAGATAGAAGTAAATCAGATAATGAATCCTGCATGTTTATTTGGCACAGCTGTTAACATAGCATATTAGCATAAGAAATACCATTCAGGTACTATATGTAAAGGAGTTAGTAATCCACATGCTTCTAATGCATTATCTGGATGTGAGAAAGAAGGGAACCCGGAGGTAATTTGAAGAAAATATAGATAGAGAATTATCTCTTTCCATAGAAATCTTTACTAATAATGAAAGGGAAAAATGCTATTTTATTATTAATGGAATTCCTGTTAGGATTATTAGAAGATAGAAAATGTAGATTAAGAATATGATAGAGAAGAAAACCACAACGAATAAATGGAAATAGAAAATGAAAGACAAAGAACCTCCTCAATGTTGGATTGTAAACATAATGTCCTCCACAAAGCCATTCTATTAAAGATGGAATGGGAGATAATAAATTCGTAATTACTGTAACTCCCCATAAACTCATTTGTCCATTCGGTAAAACATAACCCATAAATGCTGTTCCCATTAAGAAGAAGTAAAAAATAATTCCAGAAAACCAAGTATTAGGATTATAAAAATATGAAGCATCAGGTATAGCTCTTCCAAGATGTAGAAATATAAAAAGAAGGACAAATGATGCACCATTGGAATGAAGATAACGTAAACACCATCCATAATACATTTCTCTAATTAAAAAGAAAATGCTAAAATATGCTGAATTAATACCTGATGTTACATATAAACCTATGAAAATTCCAGAGATAATTTGCAATAAAATAGTAATTCCTAATAAAAAACCAAGATTCCAAAAATAATTTATGATCAGAGGACAAGGATATGATTGCAAATGAGATTTCATTAGTAATACAAAATAAAAATTCAACATGAGACTAATAGATTTTTCTGAGGCACGAAGGTCTATTTTCTGAATCTTCTTTGCATTGTTTGGTATCATTTTCCTTTATCATGTTGGATCTCTTCTGTAATAACCTTGTGTCGTATCTTTTCTATTTTGCTGGTTAAGGATTGCAAAAAATGTCGGTCGCCAGTGCGCTCAAGGGCCTGCGCGTCCCCCATTCCTCCGCGGATGGCATGTTGGCCGCACAGTTGGAGGTAAGGGTCGGGGAAACAGGAAAGCTTGAAAAGGGAGGTAGGGCTCCCACATGTTTCGAGCAAGCAGCTAGCGGACTCAATCGCAGTCAGAAAAACCACCCTCATCGGCCATGGCCACGTATTTGAACCAAGAACCACACAAATTCTGAGACGGCTAATCCCTGGCTTTCTCGTAGCGACCTGTGGCATATCGCCACCCGCCCAGCGTGGTCCAAGGATGCAAGGCGCGCGTTCTGCGTGTAAGACATCGCGCTTGCATCAAGTCGGTGATGCCTGCTGCTGCGACGTGTAGCGCCGCCGTCCTCGAATCTCCCCGGATGTCATAGGGGTTGGGGGGAGACTGATTGCGCCAGATGTCGGACGCGTGTCCACAAAATCAAGGGAAAAGCAAACAAACTCAAGGGAAAAGAAGCAAACAAACGGGCACCCAAAAGTCCAGGTGCAACAAAATGCTCCAGTACCCGCTGTCAGGCAGCGAAGTAGACTCGGTCGAAAACGCCAACGTGGAAAATATTTGAGTCGCTGGCACCACTTGGCGCACGGCGGTCGTGCAAATCAGGCGATGGGGTTTGGTGAAGGCTCCAGCGGCCTTGGCATCTGCGAGGATCCACGGCTTGAGTCGGCAAGCAAAAGATCTGGACGAAGCGGGACCTTGCGGCCAATGTTCCGCTGGTTGACAAGCTCAAGACGGTTTTTCGGCCACCAGTAGCGTGTCAGGTAGACTTCTGTCTCCCGTTTGTTGAAGCACCTAGACCCGCGCTAGCCCAGTAGAGATTTAAGAGCGACGGGCACGGGCTGCATCCTGCAGCACCGGCACGTGACGAGGTTGATGCGCAGGGAGTCTGTTGAGCGTGCGTTGGGTCATGAGGCGCTCACCCGGGCAGAGTTGCAGGATGACCTTGAGTCAAAGTGCTGTTGATAGCAGGGACCCAAAGGCGCCGCAACGGCCATGGACATCGGTGGCAACGACTGGTCAGAATCTCCTCGTACGGTGGTCGGAATAGCGCCTGTTCTTCCAGTCTGTGTCGGCATTGAAGCACAGCGGGAGAAGGAAGTGGCAGCGTGGGTTCTTCTGCTGCATGAACGTCTGGATCAACTCCTCGATGGTCGCGTCGTGTCGGTCGCGCGAGAAGGTCTCAAAGTTGGAGATGACCCCTTTGTTGATGGTGTTCATCACTCTGCAGATGCACTTCTCGGCCTCCATGGTGGAAAGAGCAAGAGATGAGGGCGATCAAGGAAAGGTTACAAGACGGCGCCAACAGTCAGAGTTGAATGAGACTACAGGCCAATGCCTCACATGAAAGAGCGAGTTTTGCTGATGTTGCTCACGCTATCACCCAAGTGTTCAGGAGATATCTTCGGGCCTGTGTTCGGACTAGCGGGGCGTGCTGCGCGGGCATACAAGCCGAAACAAGGTTGCTGCAAAAGGAGGGGTCCTGCGGGGCATCGGGCCTGGCGTGGGTGTGTGTGTGTGTGATGCCTAGAGGCGCTCGAAAAGATGAGGGTAAGGATCACAAAAAGCAAAATGTGATCCTTTTCACCAAAACTGCCAAAGAGTTCGGCAATCATCATCAAGGAGAGACGATCGTTCACGTCCGTTTTTGACTGCTCAGTTTGTCAACCAAACCGTTGTTACTCAACACATTGCTTACCGTTGTTACTCAACACACGTGCTAACCAAAACAAGCCAACAATCTGGTGTGCATTACACGCCACCTTCTTTCTTTCATGGTGAAAGAGCGGCAACTTCAAGTCCCTCAAGAGTGTCCCAAAGTCGTGGGCGGGTCCTGCTTTCGAGGACAACTAGACGTGGGTCACGGACAACATATTGCGGATACTCTAATGGACACAGGAAAGCTAGAGCTTGCAGCCCTGGAGTTTTGTTGCCATATGCTTGTAAACCTTCCAGTTAGACAGGCTGCAGCTCACTGACAAGAAGCTTCTACGCAAACCCCGGGTTCACAGCGACAAGGCGTGCGACGACTCAGCGACTTCCTTGTAGGTTCGCCCCCGGCAAGGGAGACCCAACGCGTGGAAGCCCCAACCTGCCGGTGGGTCAAAGAATTGGGTTTGCCTTTGGTTTTTCAAGAAACCTGTCTGGTGCCACTCTTGTGAGGCGGGCCACTCTTGTGAGGCGGGCCCAACTGAGTACCCTTTTCAGCGTACCAATACACTGCTGGTGTCCTTCTTTCGGTATTCGTGGACAGGATCATCTCTAGATAATGCGGTTTGTCGAAAATCAGGAGCACCGAAAAATGGGTTCCCCGAATGCTGGTGCTGAAATTCCCCGAATGCTGGTGCCCGGCGCTGAAATCATCGCCCCACAAAATCGCACAGTGGCGCTGGCTGCGCGATCCCCAACGGTTTGTTCGCTCTCTCCGGCTCATTCTCTCCGGCTCTCTCCGCCATGGCGCCCGAGTTTGTGCAAATTTATGAGAGCGCAGTGCTTTATGCAAGAAGCACTGCGTGCAGCGAATATCCTCAGCAAGACTGCTGGCACGGCCTTGAGCAACTTGAGCATATGTTCCGCTTCCGCACGTTGCGCTTGCTGGATTGCAATCAAGTTTTTTTGCGACAAACACTCATGGCCACAACCTATCACTACAAGATGGCAAACACTGTCACAAGTCAACATATGACATGTGCAAACAAGCTGTTTCGCACCAAATGCGAAACACAAGAAGATCAAACACTGCCAGGGTACTTTTAGGAAACAGGCGTACTTTTAGGAAGCACATTTGCCAGGCTTCCTAAGCAACTCGAGCTTTGCCAACAGGGGTGCCGCCCAGTTGGTCAACGTCTTGGAGCAACAAAACCAGGTAGCTAGATTGCAAACAGACAAACAAGTGTCGCCGCCTTTCCATATCTGGGCAAGTAAGGATAGTGCCCAAAACAGCAGGGGCCGCGTTGAAAATTCACAAATAAGCGTGGCATATTTGCCGAGCGACTCCGGGAATTATCTTGGTGTAGGTTTCTTCTTGTTTTTTTTGCCCCCCTTCTTTGATTGCACTTTTGGCAAAATGTCTGGAGATCATCGAGCGACGCGCCTTCTGTGGTTCCATCTCCTTTATCTGATTCATCTTGCTAACCTTGCACCCTTTGCGTTTGCGTCGCTTTTGCACGTCTTCTGTTTTCCTACTCGTGGCACGTTGCACTCTCCCCCTTTTGACCCTGGTTTGCTATTGGTTTAACGCTGTCTCTCTAGCATAGTTTTCAGATGTGTGCGCTTCTTTGTCTCTTGGCTTCAGCAAATAATTGTGGCATTCTGCATGCGCGTTCGCACTGTATCATAACAAGGGCTCTCCCAATAATAGGAAACGGTCGGTGATGATTTGGTTCTGGCCGACCGTCCAAATCTGCCAAATTCAGAACAGGATATCACCCCGATGTTCGAAAATGGATGGTTGCGATTGAAGACCTTTCGACACCATCCCAGCAAAAATGGTTCCCGACCAAAAACGCATTCCTAGCGCTTTAGGCGTTTGATGTCCTTTCAGATCTCGAAACCACCCAACCAGGATTCCCCGCAAAAAAAGATGCCCCAAAACTTGAAAATGGCTGGCTTCCCGTGGCCTCGAGTCATTCCAAGCAGTCTCCCCAATCTGCCCAAGTGCGCCAGCTGAGTGTATGTTTGCTTAGTTGTTGGTTTTGTGTATGTTTGAGCATGTTTGCGCGTGTTTGAGTATGCCTGTGTATGTTGTGTTTGTTTGTGTACGTTTGTGCGTGTGTGTGTGTTCTTTGCTTGCGCGCGCGCTCGCTTTTACCTTCTTTGCTTGATTGCTTGTTTGTTAGTGTGTGTGTGCGGGCAGTGTGGGCGTGGCCGGGGTGTGGGTGTGGCGTGGGCCGGGGCGGGTGGATGGTTGCGTGGATTGCTCCATGTGTGGGTAGGGGATTAGGTCACTGGCCGTTGGGAAAGCGTGGGCTTTCAGGTGACAAAACGCTTCAACAGGTTGTAGGGAGCCAGGTTGTTCTCAAACATACTTGCAACGTGTCACTTGGAAGGCTTTGGGCTAAAGCCTGCAATGCAGAAAGTGTTCAGGAAGGAGTGGGTTGAAGACCTTGTGTCAAAATACATCAAGAAACCATTTTAAGGCTATGCCTCAGCCAGGTCATCGCGACAGGTAATCTCACGGGTTTCTAGGGCTCCCTACTTCTGCAACGATAGAAACTCAATTTGCTGGAGCTGTTTGTGTTTGCTGAGCTTTGCCAGAACTTGGAACCCAACTGGTGGAAATGAACCCTGCAGCGAGGAAATGTGTGATTTGTGGTCGGTTATGAACAGTTGCTCATCTGTTTTCGCAGTTGATGCTTCCCCGTTTTGCCTTGATCCTTTATTACGCATTCTAATTTCCAATGTTTCATGTCATGCCCTCTGCATTCTCGCTTTTTGAAAGCATTCAGGGCATTTGAGTGGCCTAAAAGCTCGCTGAATTCCACTAAGGTCCGTTTCAGGGAGAAGCCATTCGTAGCCATTGATGGAAAACTTGAGTCAACGCGGTTCAGCTTCCATAGCGATTGTGAATTCAATCGCCCATTTGGAAAAGTATGTTGATGATGCTGCGTCAGCATCCATAGGGGTTGTGGGTTGACATGCTCAATTGAAAAAGTTCTTTGACGATGATGCCCAAGTCTGGCAAACAAGGCCTCAGTTGCCGATTCTGCAGCGCAACATGGCTTTTATTGAAACCATGCAATCTAGTAAACATTCACCGAACATGGGGCAAACATACGGGACATGCCAGCTTCACTGGTCCATGTTCCTGAGCGGGCTCGGAAATCACACCAAACAAGGTATAAACAGGGTTGAGCAAACCAGCGCTCATGCGTCAGTGTTTTTGAGCCACTTCCGCATCAGCTTTGAACAGAACATCCAGGCAAATTGAGACTAGTTCCAAGCATTGTTCTTTCAAACGGCCTCAAACGCCACACATCTTGCCAAAGAACATTTAAGAACCTTTAAGTTTCGAATGGACTTAAAAAGCCACAACATGACCTCAAAAGCTCAATTAAGACCTACTATGCCAACCGGGGGTTATGAAGCGCACTTGAGAATGCTGTATTTTGGAGTTTGGCATTTCGGCTGGTTTCGCCTGAGGGGTGCCACCTACAAGGCCGAGTACGGGCCTGTGAGCTAAACTAAACCAAACAAGCGAAAAGCATATACACACACATGGAGATACACACACAAACACAAACACAAACACACACAAACGCAAAACCACACACGCAAAGACAAAAACCCCAAAACACACACAAGCACGCTATCATTTATCCACACGCACGCAAAGACACAAAGCGCGCAAACACACATACACACACACACCACACACACAAACACACAAACACACACACACAAACACACACACAAACAGACATAAATATACAAACGCACAAACACACAAACACACAAACACACACAAACACACACACAAACACACATAAATATACAAACACACAAACACACACAAACACACACACACACAAACACACAAACACACAAACACACACACAAACACACAAAAACACACACACCACACACACACACACAAACACCCGTAAACAACAAAAATGCAAACACACAAACACACCAATGTGCAAGCGTACAAGGCACACAAACAGAGAGACACACGTATAGAAAATGCAAAAAGACAAAAGCACACAAACACTGAAAGACACAAGCACACACACACCAAAAACCACAAGCACACGTATGACACACACACAGTCGTACTAACGCGCAGACACGGACACAAACAGACAAACCAACAAACAAACATACACACATACGAACAAACACTGAAACACATAAGCGCCACGCACACACGCACACAGGCACACAGGCACGCAGGCACGCACACGCAGAAACACACACAGACACACACACAAACACACACACACACACACACACACACACACACACACACACACACACACACGCACGCACGCACACACACACACACACACACGCACACACACACACAAACACACACACACAAACACACATAAAAATACAAACGCACAAACACACAAACACACAAACACACACACAAACACACACAAACACACGCAAGCACACACAAACACACACAAACACACATAAATATACAAACACACAAACACACACAAACACACACAAACACACACAAACACACACACACAAACGCACACACACACACCACACACACAAACACCCGTAAACAACAAAAATGCAAACACACAAACACACAAATGTGCAAGCGTACAAGGCACACAAACACAGAGACACACGTATAGAAAATCCAAAAAGACAAAAGCACACAAACACTGAAAGACACAAGCACACACACACACACGCACACACCTGCGCGACCACGTACACACATACACATATGGGTGTATCTGCGTGAGGTCCCACGCGCCCTTTTCCGGCGAGCTACCCGCTGGACTCAAGATGTTTTGCCAGTCCAGTCACTGGGGTGGATTTGTGTTATGCTTTCAACCTGCGTTCGTCTTGGCCCTGGTCTAGGCGAGCCTCTCAGCCTCTCAGCTGGGCAGTCCGGCGCCCTCCAACCTCCCGGGCCATCTTGGCGATGATCAGGCCTCGGGCGGTCTTCCCCTTCGTAGTCAGTCCTTTTCTCCCCCCTCCTTTCCGCTGTCATGGCGGCGATCTGAAAGAAACTCAGCAATCACTTAAGTCCCCAAGCTTAGTTCAGTGGATTCCCGACTAACCCCAAAGAGCGATTTCCATGTTGTCCGAATGACGCAGCTCTGGACCAACTCGTTTGATTGGGAGGGCAACCAACAAAGAGTTCATCCTGCCTCTTCTTAAAAAACCCTCGGTTTGGGGCTGCCAGGGGTCAGAACAGCCCGGCACTGCCGATGACCCAATGCTGCAGCACCAGCAGGCGCAATCATTGGGGATCAATTCAGTGGAAACGATATCGAATTGCGCGTTGCGCGATAACAACGTCGAGCCTCGACCCCCTGTCTCACTTGGTTGGTTTTGGAGAATTCAGGTGATCGAAAACACTGACGTTCGCCTGTTGAAGCCACCGGCTGACTGCCGCAAGAACCATGCCATTTCGCTGCCACCCAGCCACGCCCTCCACCTCTCGCGACGCACCCACATACCTGCGAGCGTGACGAGTCATGAAGATGACGTATGTTTGGTCAATTTGGGTTGACATGGGTCCGAACAGCCAGACACCGCTGAAGAGCATTGCTGCAACACCAGCAGGCGCAATTCAATTTCAGCATCGAACCAGTCAACGCGGCTGTTGTTTTGTTGCTTTCTTTCAACAGGAGGCTGAATCGACCCGGCGGATTTCCAGACAATTTTGAATGGTCGGGGCTGCCCGTGACTTTGCGCAAGATCCACGGCCCATGCAAGCACGCACACTAAGTGAGGGAGTGAGGGCATCGGTGCAACCGGGGGCGTGGACATACTGCCCGCCACCACAATCTCTTGGAGATCGAGGATCGCATCAGGCGTGGCTGACTCGGACAGCAAAGTAAGATCAAGATCCACTAGCTGCAAGATGTGGTGCGATGGTTGCACCTGCGTTCTGGCACGCAAGGGAAAGAGGAGCGTTGCAACCAAGCCATGGAAGAAGAAAAATCCGTTGTCCATTATTTTAATCACCCATCCGTCATGCTCGCCGGCGTGTGCATGAATGGCAGGGCTGGGGGCGACAAAATGGCCCTTCTCGCAAAAATGGGCATCGACAGGCATGCCTGGTGCAAGGCTCAACGTTGTGACTCATAACGCAAGCCCCGGTTACGTCGACGCTCCACTTGGTGCACTTTGCGTCGCTTCGTTCAAATTGGGTTGACAAGGGTCAGAACAGCCCGTCACCGCTGATGACCCATGCTGCGACACCAGCAGGCATACTCCCAGCTGGGAAAAAAGAAATCGGATTGGGCGTGGCACGCTCCTGGGTGCAGCAGCGAACTATCAACGCGTTGACAGTGGCAAACTGCGCGTCGAAGGTTCGTTGCCCCTGTGAGAGGCAAAGGGAACCGAGCGGACCAAGACCAAAGTGACCCTTAGTTGGTTCAAATTCAATGTTCGTTGATGGAGGGCATTGATAGAGGACTTCTAGCAGGGGTTTACCCGCCGCTCCTATTCCCATGCCTCTCCTCATTACATGTGTGGCTGCTTAACTGTCGCGCAACTCAAGGCGCCGAGGCGAGCCTGGGGATACCATCGCGGCCCATTCCCCGAGCATGTGCTCTGTACCCTTCTTCAGGTAGATCTCACATAACTGCTAGATTTGCGTTTTGGAATTATAAGTCCACTTGCAGAGCAGTCACGGCACTTACACCGTGCTATAGACATGCCGTGGAAGGTTACGCGCGTCAAGCGATGCGAGGCTGCTGGCACTCTTGGCACAGTTTGCCGCAGCGCATGGATGTGTGTGTATGTGTTTCACGCGTAGTTTGCTAAGTGTCATTCCAGGGAAGAGCCCAGGCCTTTTCCTTTCGAGGGTGATCAGCATGGGGGGCTCCACCAGGCGCCCAAAGCCCGAAAGGACAGATCACGGAAGGGAGCTGCCTGCACACCTCAACCACCATGGCCTCCGACAGACAGTCCTCCTGTAGCACCCCTGGTAGGCATCAGGAGCAGGGTGCCGTTTTGAACCAACAGGGTTCGGCGGCACCAGACACTAATGAACGGGAACTCCGGCACACCAGGCACAGCACTCGTCAAAACAGGCACAAACTGAAGGTGGGGTATCTCCCCACTATCACACAATGGAAGGGGGGGATTGACACAGGGGGCGCGCAACACACAGCTGCCTGGCACGCTGCCGCCGGAGCAGCCCTTCCATGTGGCGCTGGAAGCGGAGCGGACGATCCGTATGAACGACAACAGCGACCCTGGAACAGCGGACATTCGACAAGTAACTCTTGCCGAAGAAGCCAACACCAGCAGTCAAAAAGCAAATTTTATCATCGAGCTTTGTGCTCCTGCAGCACCTCTTTTCCTGACAAGCCATTTTCAAACAAAAAGCGCGGCGCTCTCGTCCTTGAATGGAACCCAGCTTGCTGCCATCGACGGTCCACCTCCTGCAGTCCGCCCAAGCGGCGTCTAGCAGTGCGCACCATCATCCTTGGCTGTGAAAGGATGAGGCATCCAAGTTGCTGCTTACCTCCTCGCTCGCGTCCAAGTTGCGGTCATCCAACGCTGTGGGGACTACATCGCTGTAGTTGCTGATGATAGGGCGGAACTTCCGCGGTTTCCTGGTTGAACAGTGTGCTATAGTGATCCATTTGCTTCGGGCGGGTTGGAAGGGTCTGGCGCTACCCCACACAAACTTCCACAGCGCAATTAGTACCACCGCAAGCACGGCTCTCCCTCTGCCATCTCACGCAGATCCCCAGGTTCCACAGCAGCTCGCGCCCCGCGAGGCTGATGGAATTCACGCCTGGGTGTGTAGAGCCGGAAACTGACTCAGTAGTTTCCAAACACATTCTTCTTCCACGCACGGGCGGCGCGCCTCGGCTGAGAGAGGGTTGTCGAGTCACACGCAAGACTGCACCGCTGAATTCCCGTGCGGAACCTCTGTCGGCGGATTCTGCCGCAGGATCATGCGCTGCGCGAACTGGTGGCTGGGTAAGCCTGCCACGGTTGGCACAGGCTGAGGAACACGGGGAAGTACACATGGTGAAGAAGCTTGTGTGGTGCGCCGATGAATGATCATCTTGCAGGATTGTTTCCGGCAGTGTAGTGTTCGTCCAGATCATGTTGTTGAGAACTCTTGGGGTTGAGAATGTGAAAAGATAGGCCCAATTCCGATAAACAATGCGGACCTTCCCCTCCTGTCGCTTGTGTCCCCCCAATGTCGAAGCCCAATAGTTTAGTTGTAAATCTTTCTAAATTCCCAAATCAATGTTCAAATGCGCCTTACTGAAACTTCTTGGGAGTTGAGAGTCTCGCCAAAATTAGGCCCAACTCTGTAAAACCAGAAGGTCCATCCACTGGTGTCTTGTTGTGCTTCTTCAGTGTCGAAGCCCAAGGTTTTATTTGTAAAACCCATCAAATTCATAAATCCGTTTTCCAGAGACATCCCGGGAGTCGAGAGATTCAAAAGTTCTATGGGAGGACAAGTTGTGCCGCAGTGGCAAACCTGTCCTCCCCCGCCCGCTTTAGCAAGGATCATGGGAGGACAAGTTGTGTTTCTTCAATGTCAAAACCAAGGTTTAACTTGCAAAGCAACTAATTCCAAACCCTGTTTTTCGGAAAATGCTTTGCGGTTTTTCGCGTTGAAACTTCAACATTAGGCCCAACTTCTGTCGCTTGTTTTTCTCCCGTCTCGAAACCCACTAGTTTAGTTCAGATCAGTCTTTCAAACGCTGAACTTCTTGGTAGTAGAGAGCTTCAAAAAATTACACCAAACTCCGTACAACCAGAAGGGCCGTTCATTTGTGTCTTATTGTAGTTCATCAGTGTCGAAGCCAACATTTGAGATTCATAAACCAGTTTCCCAAAAGAGCTCATGGTTGAGAATACCACGGCCCGCTTACATTTGTGTTGCGCGTGCCGAGCGGGGCCCGTAACGTGGTCACATTCACGCCCCCGATCCGCCAGCACCTTGGACCGATTGGATTGACAGTAGGGGCAGGGCCCAACGCCCCGTGCAATTTGAGTAGCAAATTGGGCAACTTGAGGTTGCGCTCAAGCAGTTTCTTCGGATTTCAGCGGGGGGAAAGGGCAGCGTGCGTTTTTGATGCAAACTTGGTTTCGGCAGGTTACCCTGTTTGTTCTTCGCGTGCTGCTGCAAGCGCAGCCCCGTGCAGCTCGCTAGGGCAATGTGGGGAGAGACCAGAGCGCGCCAGGGGATTGCTGCAGGCAGTGCTGCAAGTGCATTGATGCCGCGCGCTCGGCCAACTGCTTCATTTCGCTTCTCACAGTTCACTGTGTGAGAATTACCGACTGGTGACCAATGGATGTTGTGTGCTTGGGTGGACAAATTGGCAGTTCGCCCTTCCAATTGTTGCCGATCTGAAAGGACATTAATGATCGAAAGGGTGGCGCATTTTTCTAAACTACTAAAACCACTTTGGCGAAAAACGACGTGGCGCAAGTTCTCATTGTCTTCTGGTCTCTCGCCTTGTCGTGGGAAACAAACTTAGCAACCATGTCTTGTCGGCGGTCAATAGTCTTGTCGCCAGGAGCCTTCAAATGCGCTGCTCGGCCGCCAATGGCTCCAGCACAAGAAGGCACAGCCTAAGTCCTGAGTCAGTCCATGGACGGAGCCGTGACCCAATCCTGTTGATGGGATTTTGCGCGGTCTGTCCGCCAGCCACGAATGGTCAGATCACCTCTCGCGACAAGGAATTCTGGTCTGTGCGTCTCGTTGGACAGGCGCCGGCCAACGTTAAGCATGGAGCCAGCGCGGATGTTGAAGGTCATGTCCTAAGTCAGGTTCAGCACACTCGTTAACAGAGAGAAAGGACTGGTGGCGCCTTGCGAGGGCGTGGTGGGGCGCTCTCGGGGCGGTGGAAAGCTGTTGCCCCCGGTCCGCCAATTTGTGAGCGCGGTGCTCTGCCAATGTTGTTGCACTCCGGCTTGTTTGCAGTCGTTTCCATGAGTCCAAAGGATGATGCGCCGCGCGCAGGTGGTAGAATGATAGTGCGCACCAACCTCCGCGGTTGCCGGTGTGAACTGAAATCAAGAAGGTCGCCGGAATAGGCGGCGACGCAGTGAACATGATAGCACAGGGGAACCCTGGTCACAGTTTGCCATCGAGTTCCGGAGCTTGGCTCGGAGTTCCGAAAGCAAATGTCGCCCGGAGGCGCAAGCTCATAAACCAACACCGACAAGTGGAGTGGTTGACCAAGTACAGGCACACCTCACACCTGCTCTCTGGCCAGGGTGGGCGGGCTGAGTGGCAGGCCTAGACCTTTTGGTCCCAATTGTTCAACTCCATAGCAGGAGGAAGGCGGGCGCTATTGTTGCCAAAACGGCAATCGACAGGCATCTGTGGTTTGTGCGGCAGTCAACCGATGGCTTCAAGGCGCACGTCTGTTAATGCTTTCGTTCACCTCGGCCAGCGAAGTGAGACAGAGGGGTCCAGGCTCGACGTTGTTGTTCACACAAGTGTGAACCACAACAACTTCGTTCAAGTCACTTGGCCTTGGGGGGGCGATGAGGATTCATTCAACCACCAATACTTGCAAAGCACAACGCCTAGCCAGGCATGGCTCAGGATGCCCCGCAGGAGCAACTTCTGCAGGGTGGAGGACTGTGCAATGTGCAAGTTCGCTGCGACCATGGCTTGAGAAGCCCGCGGGATGAAGTGTTGGTGGAGCAGGCCTTGCTAGCGTGTTCAGCAGACCCGGCGCGCATCACGTTCCGTTTCTCACTTGCAGACGACTGGCTCAGCAACGCGAATCTCTCATCATTCCGTTTAGGCTTCACACTGTGCGCCAACCGTGCTGGCTTGGTCATGGGTTGCCTCATGTTCGGTTTTTGCACCCTACTGAGAAATGTTCTCGTAATAAACCAGTTTTGCTCACCATCAAACAAACTAGGATTTTCAATAGGGGGGCTATTCGGATTCATTCAACCTACTGAGCAAAAGACCACCATCAAGCTGCTTTTGCGCGAGGTATGTTAAAAGCATGCGGGGTGCGCCTGTGGCAGCCAACTTGGGCACCTACCAAATAAGGTCGCTCTTCGGGCACCCTTAAACAAACATGTTGCACATATCACTACCCAACGCAAAACAAAACACAACTGCAAGTCTGCGAAAAGCAAGTTAATGTCTTGCTTAAAAGACCGCCCGTCAAGGCCGAGACAGGCTCAGCCTCAGCCCTCGTACGATAGGTTTTCGCGTTCTTATGATGGGGAAGGCCTGTCAAGATTATCTTTATCCTTAGCTACAGCAACGAAGGTGGCGAGATGAAGCCTGATGGAGCGGGAAACAGAATGGCTTTATAACACGGACAGCGGATGCGTCGAATGCAAGTCGTAATTAGCCCAGAACACGACACATCAATCGAATATTCGAGACACTGAATCCGAAAGCGTGGCGAGATTACAGCTACAGGGCCCATTCCCCTAGTTCCACACACAAACAACACCGTGTTGCTTGATTCCGCAACACTGTCATTTGTGTTGCGTTGTCGGCCACGGCTTGCTTGTGTAGCGCTACATGACTTTGCGAGGGCTCCGTGGCTGATTGTTTTAGGAGTGTCTGCACAGAAGGTTGCACATACATACACATGCGTATATGCATAAACCAACACACGAATAGACCCCCAATAATGATTTTTGTTAGTTTTTTGAGCGGCAACTTTCGGGGTTTGTCACGGCGATAGCGTCGGATGGGTTGAGTGAAGCAGAATAAGGTTGGATATGGGGTAAGAACTATTTGGGGGCAACAAACCCTTGGCTGCATTTTAGGTTATTTATTTGTTTCCCGGCTGGCAGGTTGCTTAGCTTGTTCAGGGTCAGTATCTTCTTTATCAGTGGGCGTTACTCGTTCGACTCTTGCTACTTAGTTACTTCTGTCCTGCTCCAACTAAAATCTGCAACACGCCTACTGTTTTTGAGTTCCAAAGTGTTTGCTTCGGGCATTTAAGCATATGTGCCTTGATGTGCCTTGATTCTGCTAACCCCCTTCCCTTCCCATGTGGTGCCGAGCAGAGCGTGGCTTGCGCCAACTTTGAAATGCATGCGCATGGTAAACGAAGGCTGGTCCCCACTGGCGTGGCTTCCCACCAAGATCATCTAGGATCGCTTCCAGGCTACAGTTGTGTGTAGAATCTGCAAACTTCCGGCAGCCCACCTTGAGACAGTGGTAATCTTTGAGTAAGAAGGGTCTTTGTAAGACACATTAGTATTGCAGTCCTTTTGGTTTCGGGCATGGTTACTTAGTCCTTTCGAAATCCGCTCTTTTTATTGCATTTGTAATGTTCGCGTGTTTTTGGTCAATGCCTTTCTCTTTTCTGTTTTCCATTGTTTTTCTCTTCTTCTTCTTCTTTTTCGCCGCTTTTCTCGCCACGGACCGTTTGTGGCAAAACGGTGTCAAAACTTTAGTGGCAAAGCTGTGGCAAAACATTTTTTGTTGCAAAGCTGTTGCCACAGTTTTGCCACAAACGCAGGGAACCCGTAAATGGTGTGCGATACTTCCGCCTGGAGCTGAAGATGCTTTGCGGCGCCACATTGAAGTCGATAGCGCAGCGTTGCGGCGCCACATTGTTTGGCGCTTAATTGGTTCGTGGCGCTGTGTTGGCCCCTGACGCCGCGTTACGGCGCCACATTGTTTGGCGCTGAATTGGCGCCTGGCGCTGAATTGGCCCCTGACGCTGCGTTGCGGCGCCGCATTGTTTGGCGCTGAATTGGTGCCTGGCGCTGAATTGGCCCCTGACGCCGCGTTGCGGCGCCACATTGCCTGGCGCTGAGTCGGCGCCTGGCGATGAATTGGCTCCTGACGCCGCATTGCGGCGCCGCATTATTTGGCGCTGAATTGGGATTGCCTTGCCTTCGGCAGACCTTGAACAGGAGGACGGTGAACTTGTAAAGCTTTGGCAAGTCAGTGCTTCTCCATGCGCAAGACTTGTTTTTGCCTGAGCTGCTGGGGCAGCCCGGGAAACTCGCACCTACATGCCCGAGCCTTCACTGCCTGTGGTTGCCTGTGTGTGTGTGTCGGTGTGTCGGTGTCGGTGTGTGTGTGTGTTTGTGTCTGTGTCTGTGTTTGTGTTTGTGTCTGAGTGCCTGTGGTTTGTGTATGCTTGTGTGTGTGGGCTGACAGGAAGAAACTGCACGTCTAAAGTGGTCGGGTATGTCAGCGGGTCCCACGGGCCCTTCAATAAGACTGGGAAAAACATGTACAGATTGCGTTTTGCATTAGAGCTCTGGCTCCTGTGCCCGCAATACTTGTTTGGCTCTGGGGTCCTTCGTATTGTGTAGATTAAAATAAGTATTGAGAAGAGGTAAATAAGGGTGCTGGGTCCAGCAGGCAGGAGTCCAACCCAGTCTTCTGACAAGTGATGCAAGACTTGGTATGGCACCAATTATCAGGTTGCAATTGCAAGGACTGAAGGAGCAAATCAAGTGCCAGTTGCACATCCTCAAGGTTAGTGACAAGCATATCATTTGGACTGCAGCAGGTTCCGCAGCGCGCACCCCAGCGACAAAGCCGCAGGGCGCCGGGGGCTGGCAGCCCGCAGTCAAATTTCCTGGACGCGCACTTGGGCGCCCTGAAGACAAGTCCCATCACCGTTTCAACCTGATGTCTCGCGAGCCGGCGGGAAATCAAGGTTTGACTGCTGTCAACCTAGAAAAACAATGACAGCCGCGGCATGGTTCCTATCCGAATGGTTAGCCCGAACTTCAGCAAGATGGCGTTGTCAGGGCTTGCTTGCAAAATGTGTGGGCCCTAGTCACGTGGGGCCTATGCTTTTTGAGCAGCACGGCGCGTTCATACCTGCAAGCATCTTCTGGCTTTTTTCCCGTCCTTTTCGAAAAGGGACGCCACAAACAGCCTCCGTTGGAAAAACGCGTCCAACAACAAAAAGCGCCGCAGGCATGATTCGTGTGACTGGAAGGAAACTGTGCTGGGGCTTGCGCCGGATGATAAACAAGCCAGTCTCGTTTGAGTGCTGGGGATCGCTCTCAATAGATATGGTCGCACTTCGCGCTGGCCACACCACGAAGCAGGGTCGACGTTGACACGCTTGAGCCTCCAACTGTGATAGCAAGCAAAACTTGCAACTGTCCACGGCGCAAGAACAAGGCAAGTGGCCAAGCGCCAAGGCGAAGGCGCCTCTCCAAGCACGAAGTTTTCCGCACAAGCACTGCACGCGCAGCTCCCCATGCTGCGCTTTTGGGCGACAAACATCAATGAACAAGACCCCACTTTAATTTGCAGTTGTTGGTTGCTTTTTTGCGCAAAGATCCCTCCGAGTAGGGCCCAAGAAGCTGCGAGCAGACTCAAAAAGCGCTATGTGTTCCACGTGGCTACTTTATCCAGCCATCCATCTATCTATCTGTCTCTAGCTTGCTTTGTGTCTCACGCGGCTACTTTGTCCAGCCATCCACCCATCTATCTGTCTCGAGCTATCGAAATGTTTATGCTCAGCATCTGCGCCTCGGAAACTGCTTGAACGAAATGTGTCTCCGCAACCCGTCTTCGCCTCGGAATTCGTCTTCGCGGAGTGCGTCTTCGCAATTTGACTTTGCTACGCAGTTCGTCTTCGCCTCGGAATTCGTCTTCGCAGAGTGCGTCTTCGCAATTTGACTTTGCTACGCAGTTCGTCTTCGCCTCGGAATTCGTCTTCGCGGAATGCGTCTTCCAATTTGACTTCGGTACGCAATTCGTCTTCGTCTTCGCGGAATGTGTCTTCGCAATTTGGCTTCGCTACACAATTCGTCTTCGCCTCAGAATTCGTCTTCGCAGACTGCGTCTTCGCAATTTGGCTTCTCTACGCAATTCGTCTTCTCGTCTAGATTCGTCTCCATGGAATGTGTCTTCGCAAATCGTCTTCGTCTTCGGGCACAAATAGCGCACGCCCACAGCGGGCACAATGCACAAACGGTCCGTGACGGGAAAAGCGGCAAAAAGAAACAAGGCAATTGACCCAAAACACGAAAATTGCAAATGCAATAAAAAGAGCGGATTTCGAAAGGACTAAGTAACCATGCCCGAAACCAAAAGGACTGCAATACTAATGTGTCTTACAAAGACCCTTCTTACTCAAAGATTACCACTGTCTCAAGGTGGGCTGCCGGAAGTTTGCAGATTCTACACACAACTGTAGCCTGGAAGCGATCCTAGATGATCTTGGTGGGAAGCCACGCCAGTGGGGACCAGCCTTCGTTTACCATGCGCATGCATTTCAAAGTTGGCGCAAGCCACGCTCTGCTCGGCACCACATGGGAAGGGAAGGGGGTTAGCAGAATCAAGGCACATCAAGGCACATATGCTTAAATGCCCAAGCAAACACTTTGGAACTCAAAAACAGTAGGCATGTTGCATATTTTAGTTGGAGCAGGACAGAAGTAACTAAGTAGCAAGAGTCGGACGAGTAACGCCCACTGATAAAGAAGATACTGACCCTGAACAAGCTAAGCAACCTGCCAGCCGGGAAACAAATAAATAACCTAAAGTGAAGCCAAGGGTTTGTTGCCCCCAAATAGTTCTTACCCCATCTCCAACCTTATTCTGCGTCACCCAACGCATCCGACCCCATGGCAAACCCCGCTCCGAAGGGTCTGTATAATTCTAATCTTTGGCGAAGTTACAGCTTCCCTTCATAAAGCCAACCTTCATATTTTTTTGATGGGGTAATGCGTTGAGAAAAGCCTGTTTCCAACATTCTCAACCAACCTCAGGCAATCAGCCAAGGGCACCCACCCCCCCAAGATCGAGTCATGTAGCATTACAAAAAACCTGTCCTAAAAAAGCAAAGCGTGTAATGCCTCCTAACGATAGCTTCAACCCTTATCATTTCCGCCAGCGCTAGCTTCCTTTTATGGGGCCAACCACACATCAAACATTTGTGGAACATGGTCATCATAATTCCTTAATATAGAACCTTTTGAACAAACATCCCAAAGTGGGCCAACAAAGTTATGTGGTACTAACAGAAACCAATCCTAAATGAAGCTACGGGCCCTAAACAATGTGTATTCTTTGTTGATTCCATTCTTTGGCGCCATTCGCTTGCCTTTCTAAAGCCGACCAAACAACAAATACATTGGCTTGTTGCACAACATGTTCAAAAAGGGTCCCGAAACAATCAGCTAAAGGTGATCCCCACAAAGAAATAGGCTCCTCACGCTAAATCAGGCCGATGGTCTGGGTAAATAAACTTAGTGGCCTGGGTTACTTTTGGGAATAGATGCAAATGCGAAACCACAAGTTGCCTTTTTGAAGTAGTATTGCCAAGCTTCTTGAAACCTGAAACCAGCACATAAACAATTCGCACATAGCATTCCCCCTTCCAAAGAAGTCTTCCCCAAAAACGTTTCCCCGAAATAGATCCTACTACAAAAGGATTTCAAGAGTAAATCAGCAAGCCAGAATCACAAGCCCAGTGCCCACCACAATATTCCCTCGCGTACCCCCAAAAACGTGTGTTTTATAAGTGGCTTCCAAACTAACCCAAAACATCCGACCCAACATCCACAGTTCTTAACATGGCTCGTGCAAAAGCATACATCGAGCCAGTGTGGCTATGAACCCTTTCTGATTCCTGAGAACAAGCAACTGGTCTGCTTGGCAATTGCTCATGCGAATGTTGATCTTCCCTCCATGTCGCGCGCAACATGATTCTCTTCCCTCAAAAACTGGGCATGATGCCTGATTGGAAACCCAACCAGCGCCGAGGGCGTTACTCAGTGAACTTCACAGCCATTTGCGCGCGACCTGAGGGGAGCGCCGTTGTCGCTCCCAGCATCAGAGAGGCTGTATCGGCCTGAGCCAGGCACCTCATGAACGATTTGGGATTCAATTTTGCTGTGGCAGAATTTGCTCAATCGGTAGAGCGTCTGTTTCAACGTGCGTCGCGTGGCCTGTGGAAGAGAATGTGCGAGTCATTATGGGGGTGACGAGGCACTGCCATGGCCCAAATCAAAATGCCGATCATTGCAAAAAACAGCAGCTTCCCCACCCCAACCCCCATGATCCTGAACGTTAGAACAGACGTAATCAGAAATGGGAATGTCATCTTACGTGAGTGTGTGTGGGTGTGTCTGTGTGCGTGTGTGCGTGTCCGTGTGTCTATGTGTCTGTGTGTGCGTCTGTGCGTGTGTTTGTGTGTTTATGTGGTTATGTGTGTGTGTCTGCATCTGTCTCTCTCTCTCTGTGCTTTTGTGTGTGTGGGTGTCTGTGTGAATCCGTGTGTCTGTGTGTGTGTCTCTGCGTGTCCCTGTGTGTCTGTGCGTGTCTCTGTGTGTCTCTGTGTGCCTGTGTGTGTCTGTGGGTCTCTGTGGGTCTGTGTGTCTCCGTGTGTCTCTGTGTCGCGCCTGTGTGTGTGTGTGTGTCCGCGTGTGTCTGTGTGTGTCTGTCTGTGTGTTCTTGTGTGTCTGCGTGTGTTGTGTGTGTGTGTGTGTGTCCGTGAGCGTGTGTGTCCGTGTGTCTGTGTGTGTGGCTGTGTGTGTCTGTGTGTCTCTGTCTGTCTGTCCATGAACAAATTGAGCTTTGTTTCATGTTTGACTTCGTAACTTTTTTCGAATCTAGAGGGCAGCCATCCGTGTCGCGAATCGAACCACCCGCTCGAATCAACCCACGGTCAGCAGGTCACTTAGTGCAGCAAAAATTCCGTCACTTAGTGCAGTCAGAACCCAAGTGTTAAACAGGTCACTTAGTGCAGCAAAAAATCCCGTCACTCAGTGCAGACAGAACCCAGGTGTTAAACCGGTCAGTTCAATAAAATCAACGGGCCCAACGCGCTCAATGGGCTCAACACGCCCAACGCGCTCAATGGGCCCAACGAACTCAACAGGCCCAAGCTCCCAACGGGCTCAACACGCCCAACGCGCTCAATGGGCCCAACGAACTCCAACGCGCCCAACAGGCCAAACGGGCTCAACGGGCCCAACGGGCCCAGCGGTCCCAACGACCCCGACGGGCCCAACAAGCCCAACAGGCCCAATGGGCCCGACGGGCCAGACGAGCCCAACGGGCTCAGCGGCCACTACATACATAGCATTACCCACATAACATAACATAACAAAGCGTATAACAAAACATAACATAACATACACACATTACAAACATACATACATGCATAAATTAAACATATTACATATCTTAAACACATACATACATACACACACATACATACAGACATACATACAAAACTACATTACACGCATGAACTGCAACGCATTACAAGAATTACACACATTACATTACATTAACACATGCACACAGACATGCATGCATGCTTGCATGCATGCATACAAACATACATACATACATACATGCATACATACATACACATATACGTACATAAATACACGCCATAACACTCATTACATTCATTTCATACATACATACATACATACATACATACATACATACATACACAACACAACACAACATAACATACATAAATACAACATACATACAACATACATACCATAACATACATTACATACCATACATACACAACACAACGCGACACAACGCAACACAACACACCACAACACAACACATCACAACACAACACAACACAACACAACACAACATACATACCTACATACATACATACATACATATGTTATATACATACATACATAACATGCATACTGACGTACATAGCGTACATAACATACATAACATGCATACAGGCATACATCACATTACACTACATTACGTCACATTACATTACATTACAAAACATACATAACACTACACACATAATAACATAACATAACAAAACATAACATGACATAGCGCAGCGTAAAAAAGCATAACATAACATAACATACATATATACACGAGAGTTTACCCCATATTCATTGTTCCAAAACAAGTCTTCCGCCTCGCCCTTCCGCGAACCTTCCGCGAACTTCCGCGATGCAGGTAAAACCACACTTTTTGGCACGTGTCTAAGCACATGTAAGTTCTTGTCAAGAAAAAGTAAAGCGAGCCAAGACGAAGAGCCAGAGCAGGGGACATAACATAACATAACATACATACATACACGTACACACACATACATACATACATACCTTACCTACATACTCACATAACATACATACGTACGTACATAGCATACATAACATACATACACACATACACGACGTTGCGTTACATTACATTCTGTTACATACATAACACTACACACTACATACATACATAGCATAGCATACATACATACATACATACGTACATACATACATACATACGTACATACATACATACAAACATACATACACACATACATGAATGCATGCATGCATACAAACATACATACATACATACATACATACATACATTACTACATTACATACATAGATACATACAACATACATACTTACGTACATAGCATACATAACATACACAACATACATACACGCACACAACATGGTACATTACAAAACATACATACAACTACACAAATAATGTGATATAATACCATCACATAACATAACATAGCATAGCATAAAACAGCATACATAACACAACATACATATATTCGTGAGCCTTGTTCCAAAAACAGTCTTCCGCCTCGCCCTTCCGCGAACCTTCCGCGAGCCTTCCGCGAACCTTCCGCGATGCAGGTAAATCCACACTTTTTGGCACGTGTCTAAACACATGTAAGTTCTTGTAAAGAAAAGTAAAGCGAGCCAAGACGAAGAGCCAGAGCAGGGGGCTCAGCGGTCCGAACGGGCAGGCCCAACGGGCCCAACGGGCTCAAGCGCCCAACGGGCACAGCGGGCTCAACGGTCCCAACGGGCCCAGCAGTCCCAACAGCCCCAACAGGCCCAACGAGCCCAGCCCAACAGGCCGACGGGCTCAACGGGCCACAGGGGCTCAACGGGCCCGTGAAGGTGAAAGTGACTGCCGCACTAAGCGACAGGATTTGCGCCGCACTAAGCGACAGGATTTGGACCGCACTGAGCGACCGCCTGACCCAACCCACTCGAGCCAACCGCCGTGAGAGTCCGAGTGTGTACGTGTCTTTGTTCTGGTCGGTGGTGAATTGTTTAAAAACCAATGTGGGAATGCTGCAACAGGACGCCAAAAGGAGATGTGTTTGGCGGGGGGCGCTGGCTTGGAAACACCCAAATGTCTTGAAGGGCACGTGCAACGCCAAACTGCCAGGTTTAGCTAGTTTCTTTCATATGCGAGACCCAAACATGGCTCCTGAAAGTAGGAGCAGCGCCTCCCACAACCCCAGTGCTTCCAGAAACCGATTGCTCACAACAAGCAGTTGGGGCGCTTCACTTGTTTGTTGGAGTTTACAGAAAACCAGAAGGGAACCAATAAAATTCAGGGGCGCCCGGGTTGTCAATCAGGGTGTGCCTCAGCAAGAATCCAACCACCGCAAAAAGCGCTATAAAAGCGCGCCTCCCACCACCAAAACAAACACGGAACCAAAACGGCCGCTCGTGAAAGAAGAGCTATTGAGACCAACTCAACCCGCAAAACCCGAAGCCAAACCCCCCTCCCCAAATCAAACCTCACCTGCCTTCCCCAGTCGCAGAATCACGAGTCGCCGCAAGTTCGAGGATGTGGCAAAGCTCACTGCCACTGGCATCCTCCACGATGCGGCAATAGGGTGATGCCACCTTCGCCCGTCTCGGATCGATGTGGCACTAAGCTTGGCAGCCTGAACGCTTCAGCACCCGTCCCTAAACAAACCGCAAGGAAAATCTTCGGGTTCCCCAGGAACTTATGTTAATGAGTGCTTGAGTGTAAGCTGAGGGAACCACCCAACCTTGGTATGCGATATAGAACACAGGCTGCAGAGGTTGAGGCAAGACACTCGTGATGCGTGTGGCTTTGGGTGCACATATATGTGCAGTTGGCTGAACCCGTAATAGTTAAGCGGCCAGGTACAGAAAGACACTCAAAAAGCTTGAATGGCCAAAACCATAATTTGTTTGTGTGCGTGTCACTCATGCGGAACGATCAACCCCTCAACCCCCTCCCGGTGACAGCTGCTCAAAAGGGTTCCTAGCCCGGAATAGAAACATAACATGCCAGTACCATGAAGCCACCTGCAAATAGGCACGTGTGAAACTACTCTGCCATGGCATGGTTGCAAAGCTTACCAATCGGCCACGAACCCGATTTAGGCTCATACTTACGCAGCATGTCTCCGAAGCATGCTGAAAACAGCAGACAGCACACACAAACTCTCGCACACACATGCTCTCCCACGCAGAAACAAACACAAACACACACAGACACACCCACAAAGACAGACAGACACACACACAGACACACACACAAAGACAGACAGCCCCACAGACACAAAGGCAGACAGACACGCAAAAAAACAAACAAACAAACAAACAAACGCACACACACACACAAGCGCACACACACAAGCGCACACACAGACATACGCACACACGCGCACACCAACACACACGCACACACACCAACACACACAATCACACAAACACGCAAACACACACAGACACAAACACACAAACACACAACACACACAAACACAAACAAACACACGCACACACCCCACACACACAAACACAACACACACACACACAAATACACACCTGCCCACACACACAACACCCCTGCGCCCGCGCCTGGCGCCCGCTCCCGCGCCTGCGCCAGCACCCGCGCGCGCCCAGCACCCCGCGTCCGCGCCCAGCACCCTGCGCCCGCCCAACGCACCCACACCCACCCACACCCGCTGCCACCTGACACCATCGCTTTTCACAGTTCGCTGTATCGCGTTCCGCGGTTTTGGCACGACACACTCTTGCCCGTGCGCCACATCAGTAGCTAAGCCAGACTGCTAGCCAAACTGCCAGCAGGGCAAATCAAAATACATCACAACCCTCTCACAGCGTCATACGCAGCACGGCTCTCCTTCAGGTGGATCGAAAATTAGAAGGTATCGCGTTGGCAGTTCGTTGTGTCGCTTTTGGACGTCAGTTCCTCCGCAATCCAGCCTTACAAAATGACATGCGTCTCTCTCACGGTCGCCCCCGTTGCTAGAACCCTACACCTGCCTTCCAAAGCACACTGCCTGGCCTTTCAAGAGAGGGACCCGAAACCTTCTACGAACCTTGTGCCCTGAACCCGGAACCCCGAACCTTCAAACTCCGAGCCTTACAATTGGCCTGCCTCCACCAGACCACCGCGAAACTTCCAGAACCTTGCTTGAAATTTGAATGTGTAGCTAGCCACCCCGCAACGAGACCCCTTGTTAGCTTTCAGCCTTCGGTCAAAAACAACTTAACAACACAAATGAACACGCGCGTGCTGACACGCCCACCCGCGCACCCAAACCTGTATATTCCAGCTTGAAGCCTGTCAAAACTGCGGACCGCGTTGTGGTAACCAGCCAGGAAGGTCCCAAGCTTTGACACCAGCGCCTGTTGGTTCCACAGCCCTGGTAGTAGGCTTCCTCGTTGTAAAAACGGTCAACCATCGAGCAGAACCTTGCCAACACTGGCACGCGTCGCAAAAAACTTCGCTTGATCTCGCCAAACGGTTTGCTCAGTGATCTTAGTCTGTTTGCCTAAGCACCAGTTGAAGGATGCGTGCGTATTAGCCCTAAGAAAGCAAAGCTGTTGGCAACGCAAACACTATTCCTTCCCCCGACTCAAACCTGCTGTCCAGCTCGCGCCGACCGTTCCTACAGCGAAGTCCGTTTGTGTTAAAAGCAAACATGCAAAAGAGCTGGCTCCGAAGGCACTTGGCGGCCAAGCCTGTCTGAAGGTCTTGTTCTGCGAGTAGATGTTCACCACAAAAAAGACCTTTCATGCGAGTGGCCTTCTGGCTTGACGCAGAATTCCTCTTTGGCTCCTCTTGAACACCGCCCGCCAAGTAGGGGGCCCATTTGTTGTACACCCGCATCGTAAGACAGAGGCCAGGAGCCCACATTCCTCAAGGCAACCGCCACATGGTCTTAGAGGCCTGTAGAAAAGCCGGTGTTTCATTGTTGCTCATGAAGAGTTCACGCCATAGCTCCTCTTGCATCATTTCTTGGACCATCTGGCCGCCAACAGGAATGCAGTAGACATGGCAGCCACATATGGAACCGGGCCAACTTGCCTTTTTCTCATGCACACTGCGCCTTGCGCTGTTGGATACGACGTTTTAATTGGTGACAGTTTGGTCGGCAACCTTTAAGATGCGGATTTATGGCTTCCTGCCAAACATGTCTGCGGATGCCTCGTTTTAACAGGTCAAAGAGGGAAATCGGATTGCAGACTCGCCCTTCGGAAGCAATGCTACTGACGCACACGATGTTGCAAAAATGAAAACCATACGCTTTAGGGCGCCACAATGGTGAGACTCTGCCATCACAACTTGCCCCGCGCCGGGGGGTGAGGTCCACTGCCAGGGGTGGGGTATCTTATCCGCGAAGGGAACCGAGACCTTGTGGTAGTAGAGGATCTTTATGCGATAGGCCCTGGATCTCTTCCGGAGAGTCCAAGTGTCAATGCTGATGGATTGATACTGGATCAGCCCTGGTTGATTGCGCGCTGCGGTTTACCCTGAAAGTGGTCCGCTAGCACCTTTGCATCACGGATGCAATGGCTCAGTGAGCTATGTACATCTGGTGTGTGACATGAAAGGCCTTGAGCCAAAATGGTGTTGCATGGAGATCAATGGGTCCGAAAAACAAACACAAATTTCTTTTGAGCCTCCAGCGCTGAATTACTATTGGCTTCTTGGCCTTTGACCGTAGCCATTCAAGTGTGTGCCGTAGCCATAGATGTGTCCGTGACAGATATGGTATATCTTGTCAGAATTAACATACTGAGTTTGTTCATTTTTGGCGTGGATGAACTTTCTTTGTTTGCAGATGGAAAAGAAAACTCTGTACTCGTTGCGGATACCTAAGTGTATCAAAAAATGATGCGCAATGCGTGTACATGCAGGATCGGTGTGAAACGGTTGATCTCTCACAGAATAGTCTTGTTGCATGGTGAGGATCAATTGGTCGGCGTTCGTGGTGCTGATCTCGGTTGTTCTCTCTTTCGGGCTTCTGCAAACATCTCATCGCTTCCACAGATGGCTGCTGGTTTCAGATTGGCTGTAGTAGTCGTAGTCATAAGTCGAAGAACTGTACGTAAGCCTTCTTGCATTGCCAGGAACTTCCCTAGGTGTTCTCCTTCTTTTTCTGATTGTGCTCCTTGGCTCTCTGAGTGTCTCGTTCCTCGCTTTCAGATCGGCTTCGGATGTAGACCATGAGCGGGCTGTGTGAATCGGCGTCGCATGGGCCATTCAGGAACATCTCGTTGGTGACGCGCTTGAAACGCTCGGCTGATGTTACCTGGTAATCGGAAATGATTAGCGAGGTCTTGGCCTGCATGGTCTTCTTTCCTCATCAGTCATGGACTCAATCTCGAGTTTTCGGAAACGAATTTTGATGTCGGTCTTTCCCCATCCAAGTACAAATGTCATCATGCAATCCGGGAATGTTCGATCACATCCAGAGCCAGTCTTCATATAGAGATGGTGACAGGAGGCAGCCATGCTTTCCATGTGTCTTGGTAGTTCTGCGTGATGTGGTTGGTCAATCCATACTCCGGATTATAGACCCATTGCAATCTGCTGTAAGTGCTCTTGCTGCTGCATTGAGTGATATTCGGATGGACATGGAAAACTCCAACTGTAGCATATGGAAGCCCGGCTCGAAGAATGCGTCGACTATCGTAGTCCGTATTCGGAGCCTCTGTTGACTTCGGCAACGCTCCTCGGAATTCGTCGCTTTGGTCGAAATTTCCTTGTTGCGCCCGTATGTCTGGATGGCAGTGCGTGGTGGCAATCTCGAGCCGACATAGTCCTTGAGGTTCTCCTTTGTCATGTGAGGTCCGGTTGTTGCCAGTCAGTCGAAGGTTGGCGCGTCATACTCGGGATCTCTACAATTGATCTCGGGGCCAAAGAAACATCTGAACATTCCGAAGGTAGTTAGTTTTGGGATCTGGTCGAGATGTATCTTGCCAAGAGTTCGACTCTGGCGTGCTCATTACCACGGACAAAACATGCGATTGGTCTTGCAGACCAGGGCTTAATCACGATGCCCTTGTATCCTGTTAGGATAAACAACCGGATGAGTTCCTTGCATTTTTCGTTTTGGGGGTCGAGAAATGCGTCTGCTTCGTTGAGGCATATAATGTGAGCACTGTTGTGCAGCAGCATTCGTGTGATCGGTTTGTCTCGCATGGGCACACCTTTCAACTCTCTGCCGTCCAACTTAGGATTCCTTGTGAGGTTCTCATGGTTCATTGCGAGGATGTTGATGGTCATGGAGGAGTGGCAGTCGCGTGCTTGGAACTTGTCCCTGGGCCCTTCGGTGGCTTGCATCAAGGATCCGAGGCACCTTGATCACATCGGGATCATCTTGTGTCCTGAGAGATTTCAGTCCAAGCGGCAGTCGAATCGGATATCCGGATGCTGGTTCTCTTCCATGGATGGCTTGCTACTGCGGCGGCAAAAGTAGAATACTTCCTCATCAACGTGTTCGTCAGGATCGACGTGTTTCAGGGAATCAATCTCACACTGGTTGAGGTCCTTGTGAGCTTTCTGAGGATCCTGGTCATACCTTTGCATGAAGTCCTTGAAGCTTGCTCTGGTCATCTTGAGTTCTTCTTCAGCTTCAGTTTTACTCATGTCTCGGTCAAGGCAGACCTGCTGGAGTTCCTCGTTGAACTCGGCGAGATTGTCAGGATTGAGGCACTCCATCGTGACCCTGTGCTTGACGACTCTTTCGATGGTGGGTTCAGTTCTTAATTCATTATCATCGTCCCTGTTAGTGGAACGCCGTCTTTTCTTGGTCTCGGTGAATGTGTTCTTCTGAGATTGGTCCTTGTCTGATTTGTTAGCATTGACATGTTTGAAGAAATCCTGCGCGAACTCTTGGATCTTAGTCATATACTGTTCCAGATCTTCTTTGTCCAGGTTCTTCTTCATGATCCAGTAATTGGTCTGCGTTTCCTGTCCTTCGGAATCATATGCCGCAATGATGTTTTGTGGCCCGATAGTATCTTTGGATAATGCAGTGCGTTCCTTGGTCAGCCTGATGCCTTGGTGGTTGTTCTTGAGGAACCCACGGATCAATAGGGCATCTCGTCTTCTAGGCACATGCGTCAAAGCTTCCTTGGACGAGGATCACGTCGTCAATGCTAGCAATTGTTTCAGGATGTTGTATATCTGGTCGTTGTAGGTCGCGTGGAACACAAAGGTGATTGGCTTCTTGTCGCAAGACTTGGTCTTTCTCTCCTGTTCCACGGGTTCAGGCGCCGGTCGTCTCATTCCATACTTCGGCTGCGCTGCGCCGTGATCCGCATGCTGCTTGTTGAAGCTTGAAGGATGGGCACGCTCGTGAAGTGTTGGCGATGGGAGATCGTAGTCTGGTTCTTGTTGCTGGTGATCCTGCTGCTCAGCGAGTAGCGGTCGCCCAATGGACTCAATTTGAACGGGTCGTGAATGACCACTGCAGCATCTTACATACAGTTCCATCTCCTTGTCATTGTAGAATCCTGTTCCATCAGGTCGGAGAGCGTCGTATGCTGCCTGTGGTGTGAGGTTTTCGATCCACATCATAATCTGGAGATACAGATGCGACTTCAATCCGGGAGTTCCCACACTTCGGAAACATAGTCATCATAAAAATGAGGGGCTTGTTGCCCAGGAAAATCCTTGCGTGGCTGATGCCGCACAGTGCCTTGTAGAGCTCGCAGGATCCGTCAGGATTGACTTGGGTGTCTTTCTTGAGCTGGCGCTTCTCTCCTTTGGATCAGATCTTCGGTGTCAATCGAAGCGTTGGTGGCTTCATCGGCATGGCCTTCTGCTTGGGCTGATGGCGTTCTCCGGAGAGTTGCTCCTTCCGCTTCCCTTCTTCCTCTGTGTTGGGTTCTTTCACCGTAGAATCGGATTCTCGATCATAATCGGCCTGGTCCATGTCGACATCCTTGGTTGCCTAAGTATTGGATGGTGCAGGATCTTCCTCATACATCTGCTCCATGGGGATGTCATCGAGTTCTTCTTGTTCATCATGGGCAGGAGAATCCCTCAATGGTGATGCCCTTCTCTTCGGTGCAGGCTTCGGTGTTGGTGACTTCGGAAGAGCCAGTCCGAAAAATTGCTGAGAAGTGGCATATGGACACAGGTATTGTACATGCAAGATCGAATTGGTCGGGATGTTGAAACCAAATCGGCTGCGGACGCAGACACATATTTCTTGAGTTTCAAGCATGGCTGAATGTAAAAGGTCAACACGGCATTGAGAAATCAAAACAGGAAAATTAATGCATCAAATTCTGTCGACATGTCGGTCATGCCCAGGTTCCCCAATAAGCAAACATGGATTCTGCTACACCGACACCTGCGAAAGCAAAGATGTCGGACCCGTGCTTTTTGTTACGTGCGAGCCATACAACCAAGAATGCCTTGTTCTGCAACATGGTACGAAATGGAGGATGTGCATCGACATTGCACGCGAGGACGGCCTTAATGAGCTCGCCTGGCTTTGCTGAGTGGTTCGTCAGCGAATCGGCTAGGCAATCTTCGCTTCGTACATGTGCAAGATCATGCATCTGTCCGCTATTCCTTTCCTTTCGCAACAATTGGATCAAGTGCATGGTTTCCTTCTGTTCTGGTTGATGGGTCGTTGATGCTGTCGCACCCAAACTGTTTGCATCAGTCCGAATGTGGACATCGGCGATTTCGCCTGTACTGTCTGATCAGAGACTGCGAAGAAATAAGGCTGAACCGTAACAGCGCATGAGTCCGTGCAGTTCTGCAA